AAAAAAAATGACTTTGTGAAATCACTTTTTTCTGTTGACATTTTGGCCAACTTGGGAACCATCTTAAACTAAATCTTTAACACGGCAGATTGCTAGGCAGTGTAATGCGCTTTAGTGTGGGAGTCCCATCGGATAACAAATAAGGCATCTTGTATATTTTTCAACTTTGCATTACTACAAGGATGAAAAATGAAAAGGATCTCTTGCAGAACACAGACTTTTTAATGATGACAGCGTCCCAGACGCAGAGGTTTATGCCTCGCAATGTGTTGCTTACCCACATGACTCTCTTTATAAAAGCTGCTACTACATTAATGTAATTTAATAAGAAACGCCAGTAGGTAAACCACTTGCAGCAATCCAAACACTCTTGTTATATGAATAAATAAAGCTGAAGCAGCTTAAAGCAGATTTTGATGAGGATATGCTGTAAAGTGCTTTTCCCCATCTGCTGGCTAGAGTGGCTTCTGATGTTCCATTCAGCGCTCCAATCATTTAACAAGTGCTCGCTGGAGTGGCCCGACATGAAGGGCCCTCCTGCGCTTATTGAAAGGGAAGGATTAGGGGTCATTACGGCCCGTCTGGCGGGAACCGCTCGCTCTGTATGTATATGCATTCAAGTGTGAGAAAAAGTAGCATTACAATGCTAAAAGTCCCCAACAAGCGGGTGATTTATGACACCGTGTCCGGGTTCTATTAGCCCCTTTTTGGTTTGTGACCAGCTGGGAGGAGCCCAGCTGCTAACAAACCAGGAAAACAGCCACAGTGCTCTTATGAGTTCAGATTCATATCTGTCAACTTATGGGGCCTTTAATTGTGTTTGGATCTCAATTAACCAATTTAATTTATGCAAATTTATATTATATGTTCAGAGATTTGTACACAAAAAACAGTCGTTTTTGGCTTCCGTCTACCGGTTAATTTAAATAATTGTAAATTTTGTGAATGCAGTTTGCTTAGTTTTACATGCATTAAGTTTTTTGTTAAATTTGTTTGCACTCTACCGCCTTTACCCACCTGGAGTTCTCGAACCACCCTCTTGATGAGGTAGTTGCCCAGCTCCACTCCTTGCAGGCCAGCCTGGGTGGAGGATATGGAGTAGAAGATGGCCGCATTTATCTTATTGACGTCCTCCTCCGAGTCAAGGGTCGCGAACTCACGGACGATACTCTGATGGAGCAAAAAAAGAAATGAATAAGAATAAAGCTGGAGGGGGATTCGTGAACGCAGAGCTGATCCCGTGCTGCAATATTAGAGCAAGTATTTCAGAGGCGGGTATCATTTCACATTTTCACACCCTGAACTGTTCTCACCGCCAGTGTTGTCAAATGCAACCTTTTCTCACATGAGACGAGTGCGGCTTAAAGGTCTTCCCTTTGTTTCCCCACACAGAAATGACACATTTGGCGTGGGGAGTAGTGGGGTCTGACCTGGATGTTGTCGGAGATGTCCTCGGTTAAGGCCACGTGCAGCACCACCAGTGGCTCCCCGGGCATGGCGGCGTGGGTGAAGGCGTAGCAGCGCCGGTAGGGCCCCACCCGCCGCTTCAGGTCGCTCCAGTTCCTGACCGGGTGCACCGCCTCGTACCTGGCGGAGGGTCCATGCTCGGTCAGAGTCTCCACAGAACCGGCCGTGCAACTGGATGGGCTCAAACTGGCATTTACTTGGCTACTTTTTTTTTTCTTTCACATGCGAGTACCGTGAGTGAGAGCTCATAATAACTGTGAGGGCTTCTAAATCTGTCGTATTTTTCATAAGATTCAATTCCAAATGTTATGCTTTAACTTTTGACTTTAACCCTATAAGAACCGAGCTTAATCAATTCATAGCCTATTCAGTAGATCAGAAAATAGGTGTACAATGGAAATGTTTAATCCCAGGCGGGCTCCCCCGTTCCATGTCAGGTAAATAAAAAAATCATTTAGAATCTATTGCATTCATGCCCAGAGGGTTTTTTTTGTCAACATTTAATCAATAGCATCAGCAGTATCAACTCACAACACTTAATATGAACGTCATCCAGGAACTTTAGCCAGTATTCTTTTAGTTTTTTATGTAAAAAAAGGTCTTGTCAATACACTATATGTTTGAAAAGGAAATAGATATCATAGGCAGCCCTGAGTCCACCACAGGAAGCTTTTCATAGGTCTGAATGAGCAATTTCCTTTTTACCATTTAGTAGAAGCCAGTTTTCAGTGAATGCAACCGGAATTAATCTCTGTACTTATGACTGGCTTTAAACTCCATTTTAGGATTGTCAGTGTATTCAGAAAAGTGAATCCCCCCCCACACCTCTTGCCCAGTGACTGCTGGGATTGTGCCTCTTTAATAAGGTTTTTGGACAGCTCACTCAAAAGCGGTTTCACGGACAGATACGAGCAGCCTCTTCATTATTTCTTCATCAATTAAACAGGTCAACTGTCTGGAGTTGATTCTTCATTTGGCATTTTCATTTGGAAAGTGTTTCTGTGAAGGACAAGCAATTAAACGGGCTCATAATAGTGTGAAAGAGAGAGGAGTGGCCAGATTAACAGTTTGGAACATTAGTGTCTAATTTACATAGGTGTTTTCTTAATTTAATCGAGGAGCGTACAAAGATTTAGTGTCTGCTCGGATTCAAACGGGTTTTTGGTTCAGAACAGGTTCAAATCATTTAAGAGATAAAACTTTTAAACCCTTCAATCCCTTTTTATCAACTCCACTTTCATGAAGTAGCAATAACGAGAATATACCATTTTACAGGCTAATTAACATAAAGCTTGCGAGGTGATTTTAAGACCTCACTCAGATCAGGAGAGAAACAGGCAGAAAAAGAGGATCTCACACACTTTTTGAGATTAGTTCAATGCTTGAAATGAGTGTTTTAATCATTTCATAAGAGAATTAATTTTCTAAAGCCTATTTCCTCTTCTTTCGAGCACCCGGTCTGGTCTATATATATATATAAATCATTTTCTTATATTATATGAATATCTCATAAATAAAATGAGCAGAGTACAGAGTGCATGGACGCCCTTACTGGCTGATCTTCTGCAGGATTTCGCAGGGGGACATCCAGGTGATTCTCTCCAGTCGGAGCAGACCCACTGAGAACCACTCAGACAGCATGCTCTTCAGGGTGCCATTCAGGTCCTGTGGGAGGGGGGAAACAGAGGATGAGACTTTATTAGTACACATCCACATTAAGCTGATAATGAAAAATGGCCTTCGTTTTTCTCTTCTTCAGCTCGGCCGCCGCTCCGCCGCTATAGGTAAACCTTTAAGTGCACTTGAGGAATGAGAAAAGGAAGGCCAGGGATGTCACTTTTACTGAGGCTACCGGAGCGTTTCTTTTATGTCGGCCACAGAAATGTCACCGTTTCTATTCGAAACGGGACAAACTCAAACTTTTCGCAAATTCATCACACCTTTTATTGAACGGTGTCAACTGAGCGACGGCGAGGGGGCTGTTGTTGTTGTTTTTTTTTGTGTCTCGGGGAAATGAACAACGCGACGTCCTTATCTCCTGCACTGTATCGGCCGCACCGTCCCCTGGATGTCTGCGCGCCGTTGGGAGCGTTTTTCCCGCGTTATGAATAGTGATTTTGCGGGAGCTGGCGATGGGCGTAAAGGGCCACTTCAATAAACACCTTGCCATTTCAAAGCAGGCCCGTCCTCCAGCAAAGGTCAGCCTTCATTTAAAGCAAATCTCTTGCAAACACACAAACAAGCGGCGGGCGGGCGCACATAAACGCAGCTCATATTGGCTGTTCCATAGCTTGACTTCACTTCAGGCCTGCTTTAATACTGCCTTGTCAATCATAACAATGGCTAATACAAACAAGCACGACAGCAGTCGCCTTATAAAAGCCATTTGCAGATATTCTCAGTGAGCAGATTATCCAAAAGTGCCTGGATCTGAAAGCCCACCCTGTGTGTCTGCACCAGCTCCAGCTTAGAAAAAAAAAATTGATAAAAGTTCAGCTAAACTTTCTTTGCAACTTTTATGAGGGCCTGTGTGTGTGTAGTTGTGTTCCCGAAGCTGCCCGGGGTGAAATAATCTGTCACGGTCGATAATCCTAACGCACCGTTTCTGTGGGAAAAAGCAGCTGCTGCCCGGAGAAACCAACCCTCCGACACACAAAAGACGGGTCACGCCGAGATGTGTATTCCACTGACCCCGCAGAAGATGGAGTCTTTAGAAATGGAAGGGTGGACGCCTCGGGTTAGAGGGGGGGGAGAGACTGGGGAACGGAGGGAAGAGCTAAAGAAGAAAATCCTCCAATCCATTAAAAAGAAAATGAAGCACCTCTTTTTGACACTCGAGGTGTGCCGCTGCTGCGAGGCGCTGATGCTGTGAGTCGATATGCCCTCCGCTACAAGCAGCCTCTCTGACCCGAGCGGCGGTCATTGTGCGGCTATAAAGCTGTTGAGCCTGCAGCACCTGGAAGGAAGAGGCTGTCTGAGCAAGGCCGAATGACCACCGACTGCCAACGTGTTTCCAGGAGAGGCCAAGCATCCATACCTTTACCCCAGTAGGCAGCATGCCACACGTCAGCGGGGCCGGCAGTGTGTGTGTGTGTGTGTGTGTGTGTGTGTGTGTGTAACCCTGAGGAGCCGACTGAAATGACAACCTCTGACGTGTCTCAACATCTTTCATCATCCCAACTTGTGGTGAAAGAGAGAAAAAAATAAAATAAGAAGCCCCGTAGGCAGACGGAGAGAAAAAGGAACCTGAAAAATCAATTACCTTACCGAGGGAGACTAATCTACCACAGAATTAAAAATTACCTTCTTGAAAGCGCCGCAAAAAATTTCAGCTCGGTCAGCCTCAAACTCGAGCGAAGCGGAATTGTAGAAATCTCCTACTCTGATCGTGTTTTAGTTCTAGTCTCACGGCGCATGGACGGACGGCCTTCGCTGCTCCTCGGTGCGCGCGTACCGCCAATTCTGCTGCTAAAAGCTTAATATTTCCTGTGACCTTTTCTCATTCTTAGCTCAATCAATTCTGGCAGCAACAACAAGCAAAGATTGCAGGGCACCGCTAAGGCCGCGGTGGTCTGCACCGAGCAGAGGCTCTCTGTAGGCACCCGGACCTTTTCAGCCAACACAAGCTCTCAGCGGGCCTCAGTCATTGAGATTAAATACATTTCAGAGCCTTTGTAGAAGGGGAAATAATAGATACCGAGCAGGAGAGGGGAAATTAGAGTCTTCTAGCCGTAACTCGGTCGGGGTCTTAGCAAATCACAATGGACAGCAGCACTTAACGCTTAATAACACATAAGTGCAAGGCACTGAGGGCACTTCTTACTTTTCTTTTTTTCCTAAATTATTCAGAAAGATCTCAAAAAGGTGTTTCACTCAGTCATCAGCCACCCCCGAAAGCAGCACAGTAACGTCCCAAAGAAGGACATCTCAGCCTCACCAGGAAAAGTCTGGAAAAATGTCCATTTGTGACTTATGTTGACGCATTTGAAAACAAGGAAAATAAGAAGCTTTGAGAACACCAGGGAGCTTTTTATTAGTGCGTTTGTTAGATGTGCTCAAGACTTCGGATGTGGGATGTGCTTTAGATCCAGCCAGTCAATCAGCTTTTGCACAAAGCAACACCCTTAATGAGGGTTTTTGTAAAGCTCGCAGATCCGATAAAACAGCTGCTGAAGGCCTGTGTGACGCTGACAGCAGCGCATGTAAACAGAAATTATGTAGGGAAATAAATCCATCGTTCGCTTGCTTTATGACACAGAAATAGGCATCTTTTAGAATTTCATTATTGTCACATTAAAATTGAAGCATGCTGAGGGTATCAACTCCACCCATAGGAGCTCAATGTAAGCTTAAATAAAGAAAAGGAATGCAGGGGAGTAACCAAACACACACACAGTCTTTTAAGGTCTCGTAAAGCTCTCTCCCTTTTTGTTCTATGAGATCAGTGTCTGATGATAAGCATCTGTTCCAAAAACAGGGAATAATGGGATTTCCAATTTTTGTCACAAAAAAAAAAACTGAAGCAAAAGAATGAATGAAAGAGATGAAGGATTCATTTTTGGTGCAAACTGTGGTCCCTGTGAAATAAATAAATAAATTAAATACAGCGTTGGCCTTGGTGGGTCAAGCCTTCTCTGATCGCTCATCCTTCTCTTTTGAAAGCAGAGTTTCTTGATGGTTTGGGCGAGTGGGGCCGAGGCTTTGCTTCTAACAGACTGAGTTTGATGATACAGATCTAGGTTGACATTAGCAGGGATTTTTTTTCTATTTTGTGTATTGTATCTGTCTGATTTACCCAGTATACATAGCAACTGATTTCTGTTTTGTAGAAATGTCTGTTAATGGTGATCTGTGTATTGATCATGCCCTGATGGAAAAGGGTCATTAACCAACAGTGTAATACTTGCAACTAAAGTAAAAAACTAACTTTTTTAGTGAACAAAACATAAAAATGAATACCAGTCAAAGATAGTTTTCAGTGGCCATATATGAAGTAAAACAGACCCAAATTTTGGTTTAAATTGGTCTGTGGATCACTTTAAATGAATAATACCAATTCAATTAATGCCAAAAAAGACAACAATACATGGAATTCTGCTGGTGCACATGAATATCTTAGTTCTGTGGCCCTAAATTTGCCTTCATTCGATTCTCAAAACATGGGAGCATACAGACATGCCAAACTTGCCCATTTTCCAAGAATATGGCAGACTGGATTCCAAACTCATATCTTCCTAATTGATGGCAATAATAATACAGGACACTGTTTGCCATTCTGACCTTGAACTTCTAAAACTGTGATGAAATGTCAGTCTATATTAAAAAATATATATATATCTCCTTCGAAAAATTGATTGAAAGGACCATGCCTTACTTCCCCTCAGCACTCTGCATCTTAGTAAGACTTAGCCTGTCAAACTGTGTCTGCCTGCCAGAAATCAGTATGCATTACAATAGTAAAAACACATCTTCTAAAATGATTTTGTGCTTTGGGTAAAAAGTAGAAAATTTAAAACTTAGGATGAAGCAGCTGTGTTTATAATACAGCCTTTGTATTCTGAAGTGTAGGGAGTAAATGCTCGTGAGCCAGCTTACCTGAAAAATATCCCTCTTTCTCTTCGGTGTGCATGAATGCTGCCTCACATTTGGAAAGAACTGAAAACTGTAATTATATTTGACTGAACATGAATGACTGAGCAATGAGGTACATGAGATTGGCTTCTCTGAAAAATAAGTTGCCAAAAATGTGCCATTATGGGTGCAAAGAGCATGGGAACCATGTCTGTATCTGTGATGGAGTTTTTTTTTTCCCTCTCGCCCATTTCTCGTAATTTTATTTTCACTTTGTCCTCAAATGATTTATTCAAAATACTCATTACATGCCTGATTTGTATTCAGTTTTCACTGTATCTGAGCAGAATAGCTCTTGCCTCCTGTATTGAATCAAATACTGTTTAAAAGGGCCTTTTTTAAAAAACACAAGAGCTTTTCAGCAGCAATAGTAGATAAGCCGACTTCTCCAGTTTATAAATATATATATATATATATACGCACACACACACACGTGATTTTCATACGTAAATGTTCTGCATGAGCTATTTGTTAATCTGTGCCAAACTGAGATAAAAGACTATTTATAGTACATAAAGTTGCATAACTAAATATAAACTAGGGTAAAGGTCCCTGTCAGTCAAGCTGTAGTGAAACATGAACCATGTGACAGGGGCAGAGCACAGGGGGCAGTTAAAAGCCCCAGTGCAAAAGTTAACTATGCTCCCAGCTATAGTTGTGTTTAATTCCATATATTGCATGTTTTGTCTACTTTGCCTGTACTTATGAACCAAGCGGCCCTTCTTGAGCCATGCCAGCACCCGTAGACGAAAATAAACAAATCAATTACCCTGATATGTGGGCTCTCGCTAGCTTTGGATGCTATTATTTCGAGCAGGTCTGCTCGCAGATCCACCAGGAACTTCACGCCGCCTTCGACCCTGCTTATGTGACCGAGCAGCTGCTTGTAACGGGGGGTCAAACTGTACCGGAGCCTGTCTTCCACTTGCAATATGGTGGCCAAGTCCCGTATCTGAGTGTCCAACAGCTTCACCGCGAGCTCCGAAAGGTTTTTGTGGTCTACTCCGTAGTCTTCGGAGAGTTTTGTGAGGAAGTCGACTTTATCCTCTTTCTCGAGGCTTCTGTAGAAGTGCATGAACTCCACACTGTTGGACTCCGGAGGAGGTGGGGCTTTGTCCCGCGTCTCGTATGTAGGTAAAGGCACGACGACCCTCGCTAGTAGCGCGTCCATGCCGGGGAAGCTGCCGCGGTCCGGGACGGAGTAGCAGCGCCGGCCGCTGACGCCTAAAGCCTCAACAGCCACTTTAAAGGCGGCCCGCCGTCGCCAGCCCCTCACGCTGCTACGGACGGCCCAGATAACGGGATTGGATAGCATAGCGGGACAGCGTAATTCAGCTTCCCGTTTTGAACCGGCGACCGCTTCATACAGAGCACATAATCACTTCCGGGTCTCTTAAAGAGACAGTGCAGCAGGGACGCTGAAGGAAGAACACGTTAGACGTTTTAAGGCATTTATTAAGCTAATATAAAAGACGTCCTTGTTTCCATAACTGTTATTTTGTGGACATTTAAAATGCTAAATAAAATCAACCTTCGTGAAAAGAACTCAGTTTCCTCATTTAAACACCACATACATCTATTTGATTCCATGCAATCTAAAACAATCTGTTAAACTTCAGTATATTTGATGCTTTGTGTCAGCCATCCATTCATTTTCTGTGCTGCTTATTCTTAGAAGGGGGGAGCCTATCCCAGCTGTCATAAGGTACATCCTAAACAGGTGGTCAGTCCATCACAGGGCCACGTGGAATCAAACATCCATCCATTTTCACACAAAGACGATCAACCACTCACACTCATTTCTGAGGGCAGTGTTTCCAATAGACCTAACATGCAGGTTTTGGGACAGTGGGAGGAAGCCGGAGAACCCGGAGAGACACAACAGGTAGAACATGCAAACTCCACACTGAAAGGCCACAGGGAGTCCTAAAGTAGGAACCAGTAACCGTGGGGTGATGGTGCTAATTTCAAGTTAGATGTATACAAATCAAACCAAGGGCTGTTTGATGAGCTGAAAACAAAGATTTCACTTTTCTTTAAACATTATATTGAAGGAAAAACCTAATTTATATTATAAATGTACTTACCTCATCAAACATTCTCATATCAGCATCCTCTTTGGTTGGTGTGTGATATGGAAGTATGTTAAGTGAAATTTGACTGGACCAGAAACATCTTGTGGCAAAATTACTTTCTTCTTGTCTTTAATTGCCTTGTTAATCTTCATACTGTAAGTCATTTACATATTATTTTAAGGACATTCTTATATTTACCCTTGAAAGGACTGATCTTATTCTAAATGACTTTTTTCCCCTTTAACACTGAAATCCAATGCACAAATGTTTTCCTTTCATTCTTCTTTCTTTAAAGAAGCGTTCTCTGTTTGCCAGCTGTCATCAGTTTTGTGTTGGGAGTTTGTTTAAAAACCATTAGGTAATAATCATGACCTATAAGGATCTTTTTTTCAGATTAAATCATCTTAACTAAACTGATTTATCTATCCTAATACTATTAACAGACAAGGTGATGGATAAAGGTCATGCAAACAGTGCCAGTAATGGAGGCCTCACATTTGCTTGAAAAGGTGATGAATGATTTAGTATGTGCTCACTGATATTATTTTTATTGTCTAATATCTAAGCAACAGGGAACCAGCTTGAGATGGTACTTATAAATAGGCCTATTTGGAATCTAATTTAGCAGAACATGAATGGTATGATAAAGTTGTTTGATCTGAATCTGATTTTGAAGCAGTAGGTGGCAGATATAGCTCGTACACCTATGAGCATTACTGTATCAATCACCTGCAGGTTGATAAGAGAATAAAGTCTTATCAGACGAGTTTTCACATCAGAACGTTTTTGAACCAGCACAAGCCATTAAACGATTACATTGCTCATCTCTCTGCTGCAAATGTGACATTTGTATATAGGTCTATGGCCATATTGGCCATAGGTTTTGAATAAAGTCTTTCATTTGTTTTCACCTATCTGTTGTTTTTTCCAAAACAACAACAAAGATTGGCACTGGTAACAGGCAGAGAAGGCTGTGACTCACAAAATGTAAAAAGTATATGTCTATGAATCTGGCAACCGACGCAACTTGCTTAACCAATCAGAATTCAGCGTGTGGTGACGCGAACTCAAGTCAACGGCGGCAAGAAATCGCGCGAGAAAGGTTTGTGAGACCCAAAGAAATTTGATGGTTTAATATTTTTAAAATCCAAAAACAGCCTATGTGAACGACGTAACAAGCGGTGGGTTTAGTTATTATTTACATTTTCTCTGACTAGCTATAATATCTAAACATTTTTTAACGTTTTCTTTAAACTTAAATATTAGCATGTTCTACTTTAAGCTAACTTAAATTTGTTTGTGTGACTGACATTTCCCGCTAGCAAACAGCTTTTTTTTTGGGACTGATCATGAACATTTGACTGGAACTCGACTTATTTTCTCATTATTTTCAGCTTTCTTTTATCCATCTGACCGGCTAATTTCACCGTTCGCTCACCAGCGTGTGAGACATGGGAAGAGAGAAGGACGCCAAAGGAGATTCAAAGGCCCAGCACAAAGCGACCAAACTGAAAAGATTGAGTGATCGAGAGAGCGCAGGTGCCGGGGGAGATCAGATCAAAAACAGGTGAAAAGTCTGCATGTAGAAAAAAAAAAAAAAGGTTTGCTGGCAGCCAAAATTTAAATTGCACTTTATTATAATTTCACCATTAGATATGGAGGCTGCATTGTGAAATGAAGACCCTGAACCTCTGTGAGAGGAGCTCTCTTATTATCTATGCATCTGATCTTCCTACAGCATGTCTAACATCTGTGCAGTGTCGACATAGGGCCCACATCAAAGCTAGTTTTGCATGGAGCATCGCCTTTCATGTTTTTAGAAATGTGGAGACAAATTAACTTGGTGGTGGGGAAAAAAATACACTTGAAAGGTTGATAAATAACAGGAGTCACATGGCGGTGTGTTTACTACTAAAAAGGAAAGATGCAAAAAAGTGTAACTGAGAGCATGCTTGGTTGGCTGAGCCGTCAGGCAGGCTGGTGGCATTGAGTGCATGAAGTCATTTTCGCAGCGTACAGTGGGTACTCCATCTTCATATGAATAAATTAATTTACTTTGATATCTGATGCGTTTATTACCATGCATATGTGAGCAGACAAATGAATGCGGAGTGATCTGTCATTGGCTTGTGTAATTGATGAGAGCAGAGAGATGAATAGACACCTGTAAGCGCCACTGCCAGCAGAGCAGGCAGCTCTCTGTGACAGCTAGCCGCCTGTTATTTCATGGCACACTGACTGAATTAGTGATTAAGGATCAACTTATCCTTCTCATCCACAAGACTCATGGAACTAATTTTCCTGAGCAAGCACCTCCTTGTGTAATTGTGTTATTGCCTCAGTCAGATGCACAAATTTGAGACTTCTGAATTGGGTTAAAAAGAAAAAAGGATTTATTGGGTTGGGAAGTAATTGGAGCTCCTGTCGCATACTTTGAAGGATGGAAAGGTCAAACTGAAAAGAAACATGTTTGAAGGTGTATGGGGATCTTCTGGGACATTGTACCTGCCATCAAGTCAGCCTAATCTCAACTAAAGATTCTCATATGCTTCCACTTAGATGCATTTGTGGCCCAGAATGTGTCACAGTGTGGTTTGTGCTGCGTTTGTTGGTTCAGGGTTTAAAAAGTTGTATTGGGAATCATATACATTTGTGGCTTCTGTTGTGGAAATTCTATTCTCAAGCAAAAGTTTCGAGTCCATCTGAGGAAGTAAGAAATAGAAATGTATTAAAAGAAAAAACTTCATAAAGTAGGATCATGCAGGATCACACAAGTGGTTCATATGACGTTTCGAGCTGCATTTTATACCTCTCTCGGAGTCTGAAATGAGAGGAAATTGTATTAAACAATCTTCAAGACAAAACATTAAGAGATAAAGTATAAGAAACCTCTGAGACCCCATGAGTCATAAAAAGAACCTTTAAAATATTCACTAGTGGTAAGTTACCAGAGAGAAGTGAAGACATTGATTATACACACACAATGATTTCCCCCACACTTCTTAAATGCTCTGTTCCTATATTCAGCCGGATACTGTACTGTTAAGACATCCCTGACACACTTTTTTTTTATGGAAACATATTTCCCAGATGAGGCTTGCTTGCTCTCTGGGGCTTGGATACGACCAGATGTCTTTTATTACATTTGTGCCATTCTAAAATGCAACAAAAACGGCGTTGCCTCCCTTTTGCCTGGCAATCAGGAACAGTTTTATCTGGCCATGCCACGCAGGTATTCTTCACAGTGAGCACTCATTGAATTTCGGCTGAATTTGGCCTCTCGCTTATGTGCAAGTGGCGTCCGGCTCCAGCAGGGGTGTTATCCTGTTATGTGCAAAAAGGCTGTTAGTGGACCATTGCCTCATTTCCCCTACGGCTCTCTGCAGTCCAAGTTTTTGTGTTACAAATACTGTCACTAACACAACTTCTCTCATCTTCTATCTTGACTGTTTCACAGCGTGAAGGCTGCCAAATCAGCAGAGAAGACGGATAATGGAAAGTCTAATAAAAAGGTAGAAAACAATTTTACTGCTGTTTTGTACGACCTGTGTGAGCCTAAATGATCGTATATGGACATTTTGTACCATGTTTGCCTAACAGGTTGTTCAATACATATTGTTAACACACATTTATTTAAAGTGCATTTATTTGTGATTTCGGGTTCATTCATAATGTCAAAGAGATGTGAAGTGTTTGATATCTCTTTTGAAATAACTTAGTATTTTCTCATATCGACCTCTGGTGCTCTTCTGCTTTCCTGTCCTGAGGGGACTCCAGCTAAGAGCTTCATATCTATTGTAAATGCAGTAATTTGCCCAGGTCGAGCATCAACTTCTGGGGCTGACCAAAGGGCTCCAAATGACAAAAGCTTTGCTGACCTTTGTGCTAATAATGCCCAAATGTACAAGCTAAAAGAAAAAAATACAAAAGCATTTCCAAAAATATTTTCATCTAGACTTAATGATCCAGTTTGTTATAAATTAACATCATCTTCACTTTTTTTATGTACCAACCCCTGTTGGTTCCTATTATTAAGTTTTAGTTAAATCCATGGCATGGATTCTAAATTGGGGGATTTAACTTACAGAGGTTTTTGTTGTTAGACATGTTCTCATCAATCAAATGCTCCACAGAAATGGGAAAAGACAATATGGAGGCGTCATAGTCTGTATGGATGAATGAAGTAAACAACACTTTGTGTTTGTCATCCGCTCTCACCATCATTACGAGGCTTCAAATCAGCCACTTCTGTTTTGACATGCCTCAAAATACCCCCAAAAAATAAAACAATGTTCAATATAAACTGAAACGGACGTCCAGCTTTTAAAGATTGTGCTCTTTCATAGGTCAAAACGCCAAAGATGGAGACCCCGGACCCAGTCAGCAGCTCCAGGTAGGAATGATTTCCTAGAACAAGATGGTTTGCTGTTAAAGGGACATTGTTTAGTATTTAAGTATTTATTAGCTAAAATCATTGTCTTCTAAATGTGTCCTCATTTGATGTAAAATGACCTCTGCAATGATCTGACTTCTCCTCATGAGCGAAGAATTTGCTATCTGTATATACACAGGACGGTAAGGGTTTCCATGGCGATCCACCATTTTGAAAAACTATAATGGCAGAGAAGGACATAAAGCACTAGTCTGCCTGTCTAGCTAACGTGTTTTCCTTCAGAGCCAGAGTCACCTGAATGAAAATTATTTTTAATGAATACATTTTTTTACTAAGTAAATTAATTACATTTTTCTTTTAAATTCCAAACTTCATCACCCAGAGAAAACTGGATGATGTGGAAGTCATGTTGTCATTACTTCTTGATGGATGACAGCTACCGTAGCTGCAATACCCATTTAAAAATGGAGGAACTAGAAAGCAGATTTGTTAGAATGCAGAATACTATTTCACCGTTAGATGGAGAAATTCCTACACCGTGTAGCTTTAAAGTCTGAGACAGTAAGCTGTCAAGGTACTGAGGTGGAATTGTGCAAAATAAATCTTTTTTTTGTCCTCCTTTCTTGCTCCCTCCTGAGGTGATGGAAATTGATTCTTGTGTTTTGATGTTCGGGGGCCCCGGACAGAAGCATTCTCATTTCACACAATGTGTTAAGCTGTCTCTGAAAATTAATTTAACTTTATCCCGAAGACAAATATATGTGCCTTGTCAGGAGAGTAATAAATGAGAGTGCACGGCGGCAGTAGCTGGGCGCACAGCAGGAAGTAGCCTCTGTGCCAGACTGTGGCTGAAGGCCCGCGGCGTCAAATCCGTCTTGCTGCAGTATCTCTATCCAGTCCTTATTAGATTATTACCCAGATGCAGATTCCATCCAGCCCGGTGGGATGAGTGACATTTCAGAGAAAATGTTGGTTTGAAAAACCGTTTAGCTAAATTTTGGCTTTTAATGTTTCCCTTTGGGTTTCTTTTCTTTTTCCCCCCTCCACCCCAAAAAGGCTCTGGTGGCTGAGTGGGTGGAAAGCCGGAGCCTGGCAGCAGAGTTGTTGGAGGAACATAAGGCTATTAGAACCACAGACCGTAAATGTCAATGGACGCAGTGACCCACCTTTCTTTGTATAGCTTTTTATGGATTTTGATCAGTGGTGCAGTATAGCAAAGAAGAGAAGAAAAAAAACTGAATTCCACCCGTACTCCCTCTCATTTTGTTCACTTTCTGCAGTTGGAGTGAAAAGCTTGTCCTCCACACAAAGGCAGCTTAAAAAGACAAAAGGGAGGAAGCTGAACAAAGGCTTATTCTTATGTTTTTAGTGCGATTTAAAAAGAGTCGTGGCTCGCAAGTCGTTAGGCTCCTACAAAGGTTAAGAGCTATGATGTTAAGGAATGGATGTGGTTTTCCTGACGCCTGCTGGCTGGCATCAGGCTCCTCTCATCTCCTTTAGGATCCCATCAGGATTTCCCTGTCCCTTATGCGAGACTGCCAACAAAGCCTTGTGCAAATACCCTGTTGTAGTTGGAGCTGTTATTTGGTTTGTCGTCTTCAGCAAGTAATGGGTGAAAATGTCTTCTAGAAGTAGTTTCTGGAGAGAGGGAACTGACCTAAAAGAGTATTTTTTTCTGCAGACGTAACCAGTGATGCCCTTTTATAGTTAATGTTTGTTTGAAAGAGAATATTAATTATTTGTAACACAAAGGAGGACTTTGCTGTTTATTGAGTCACTGAGGTTTGGTAATGCGAGGCCTGCCAGCCTGCACAGTCATAAGCTCCAGAGAATATGTGTGATGAATTAAAAAGGCAAAAGACTGTACTGTGAAAACATACAATGTCTTTTTGACTGTTTGAAGAGGCGAAAGGTCTACTTTTCTTCTCAAAATCTAAATATAATACTGGCATTGTTTATTTCTGAGCTCGTATTGCCCACACAAAAGATGAGTCAGAGTCGGAGTGGAAAAGCTGTCATTAGCTTCAGTCTGAGGTCTTTGGGGTCATAGGCAGCCTCCAAATTACGAGCTGGATATTGGCAGCTATCGTCGACTGTAATTAGAATTCAATAAACTAATTTCCAATTATGCGTTTGTGCTCTACGTTCCCTATTTCTTTGTGAGATTCTAACCAAATGCAGGAACATGGCCTGAAAAAGTCCTATTTATATTGACATTATATATATTTGCTCTCATGTGAGGGGCCCCAGGTGTTAACGTATGAACTAAATCTAATGAGAATAAAAGAGAAATACAGTAGGTCATTGTGCAGGTGCTAATTTTTCTTCATTTTGGCCATTTCCCTGCCCATCAGTTCTTCACTCTGCGGGGAAAGTCAAGCTTACCTAAGAGTAATTATTATTATGTTCATTTCTAGCTGCTATAATTATGTCATTATCATCACTGTGGCGATAATGCTCCTTAATTACAACAATTATGTGTGATTACTTGTGGTCAGCGAGTAATCATTGTGTGCTTAAGTTTTGTATTCCAGATATAAGGGTACTTTTAGCTTAACTTTGCACCAGCACTGTGGCAGGAAGCACTGAAGGGATAACCATTAAGCTGTTCTTCCACTGGGTTATGAACAGTTTAAAGAAGGTCTAGTTTCAATATGTCTGACATAGTCTGAACATCAAAATGTTTTAAAAAAAACAACAAAAATGTACTATTCTTTACAATGCTGGCATTAGTTGAAAGTGGATGGTAAACGTGTTTATTGGCTTTTAAGGAGGTTGACCGTTACCTTCCAGTAAGATAAAGACTGGATCTGCAGGTGGAGCAGAATACTAAACAAAGCAAAACCTCAGTAAACTGTCCTTTCTTTTTTGGGATCCAGTGATGCTTTGAAACAAGAGCCAGAGGATGACGACTTTAAGGCAAAGAAGAAAGGGCTGAAAAGAAAAAGGGTTAAAGATGAGCCACTGGAGGGAACGTCCCACGCCACAGCTTCACCCACGTTAGTCTAATCTGGGAACGTCAAACTTCCTCTTTCCGATTTGTGAATCTCGCCTTGTTCCTGACCGTTCGTGTTTTCTAAACGTTTTCAGCTTAAAGAGAAGAAATCGTCACCATAGTGACGGGGAAGAGAGCGAAGGGGAAGCTGACAAAAAGAAGCCAAAAAAGAAAACGGAAAAGGTAAATATTCCCCCTCACAGCGAGGCCGTTTGTCTGCACACATTAAAGAGTTTCACTCTTCACAGACTGTGAAGAAAGAGGAAGGAGAGCATCCGGTCTCCAAAAAGGGGAAGAGGACTAAGGAGGAGATCGAAGAAGCCAGACAGCTGAAGATAAAAATGAAGGAGGAGGAGGAGCAGAATCGCTGGAGATGGTTGTGAAACTCTGTCCCCTTTCATCTCCCACTCACTCACCGTTCACACCTCCCCTGTTTTCATCATCTTCCTTTTTTCCCAGGTGGGAAGAAGAGAAGTATGAGGATGGGGTGAAATGGAAATTCCTGGAACACAATGGACCTTACTTCCCGCCTGTGTACCAGCCGCTACCTGACGATGTCAACTTCTCCTATGCCGGTCAGTGATGCCCAGCGATGACAGAGGCCGATCCAGAGTTCTACAGAAACATTATTTCCTACAGATTGCTCTCTTTATGAGTGGAGTTAACCATTATACTGGTACCTCCAGATGCTGGACTGACTAAAATAGGCAGATGTAGACTGTACTTGACTGTGTTTTTTACGATTTCACTAATGCTTCTGCTTAGGACATAAATCCCAGTGTGATTTCAGCCACTCATTGCTGAGCCGTCACAGCTTAATTATCTCATAAAGGGTCACTGCTTTATAAGACGGGTCACATCTAATAAGATGCTCCTTTATAAGATACTCCAGAAACTTGGAGGCGACAAAGAGAAATGGGAAAAACTGATGGCCTTCTCCTTTCATTTCGTAGTACTATCTGCCTTTTCTTTTAGCGTGCATGGTGGGCCGAGCTCTTCCTTATTACTCGACAAAGTAATAACAAAGCCTCTGTAATCTATGGAATGTCTCTGATAACACTGGTCACATGGTGTGGACATTAAGTCCAGGGTGACCCATTATTCACAAACTCGCCATTAAATAGAACAGAAAAAACTAAAGAGATAAAGGACAAAGCAGGAGGGACGTTCTATGCATCTCAATCATTCTGCGCCTGTATTCATTGCTGTGTATGGATGTTAAAAGACTATCTAACTGTTTCTTTATGCTCGTGCTTACATATGCAAATGCATAGACTTTTTTTTGTGAATGTGTGGAACTATTTTAGCTAAACCGATGATTAATTCAGTTGTTCCTCCTTAACCTTAGATGTCCTTTAACGTTTGGATGAATTGGCTCTTGAAAAAGTTGCGTCAAATGAATAATTTGATACTTTAATCCCGCCGAGAGGCAACTGGTCTTAACTTTTCATCCTGCGTGTAGCGGAACCCTCCTGCTTTTCACTCCATCGCCTGTGGCTTAGTTTTAGTGGACGGGTCCGCATGAAAACGAATTAAAGTTCAAGCGAGAGCTGAAGGTGTTTAAATGTTTGTCTCTCAACACACAAGGCAGCAGTCAGGCCGTGTTGCAGGAGAAGACCTTCAAACGGTCAAAAAGCTGCGTGTTTAATGTAAAAAAAGAAACGCAGGATGAGCCGTTTCTGTGGATGGGAAATTCTGAGATTGTATGAGTGGATGCACCTTCAGCTGGATCTTTAGGACGGCAGGCCGGTTTTGAGGCAATCTGTGATTGATGAATGTGATTGTTTTTGCTTTGTTTAGCAGTCCAACCACAATGCCCTCCTGCGGGAGCCGGTTTGATCGGTTAATTCCGGTGTTTGTGCAGCTGATTCCCAGCAGTGGCCTTGAATGTAGATCTGCGTCCTTGTTTTTGTGCCTCCCTCTTTAAAATAATGGATCGGCCGACGGCTCTTCAGGGGAGCCGAGGCGTCACAGGCTGTTGCAACGTGGCATCAAAATGTAAGAAGCAGTCCTTTTTTCTTATTTTTTTCTTAGGTAAGACGGTAAAGCTGAGCCCAGCAGCAGAGGAGGTGGCCGTCTTCTTCGCCCAGATGTTGGACCATGAATACACCACGAAGAAGGTGTTTCGGGAAAACTTCTTCAGAGACTGGAGAAAGGTAAAGCCAAAGCCCGCGTGGCCTGTCGGTACGTTGTCGAGGCCAATAAGGAAGAGCGTTGCTTCCTGTCTGAATTCCAGCATTGCACATGTAAATACAGGATGAGCGTGCGATTGTTCCCGTACATGCTCAGTGCCGTCTGTCGGGGTGTCCTCTGCATAGAGGAAACATTGTGCCAAGCCCCAAGGCATATCATGCAGAATTAATTTTGCGCTGCTTAGTGCTCAATGCTCTTGAAAATACGATTTGTGAGAAAGCATTGATATGCTAATCCAGACAACTAGCTCCCCTGCATACGAACAAATCCAATTAAACTGTTTTATTATAGCCGGAAAAAAAACTCTCCCCGCTTCGCTGCCCTCAGTGCCCGCCCACTGTGGGGTGTCAGTCATGCTTAGGCACGCAGCCTGGTGGCATGTCCACACTGTCAGGTGTGTGTGTGTGTGTGTGTGTGTGCGCTCTGCAAGAGGTTTGGATATGAAGATCATCTTCAATGAGTAGAAATGAAACAAAAAACTGAGTGGGATCATCACTTATCAGAGAGGCCTGTTGTTGCTGTTGCTTTTGGGATAGATGTTCCATATTCATCATCCATATGTTTCACATATGACAGCAGTTTGGACCTTGAAGGTCCACGTTGTAGGAATTTCTCCGTCTAACGGTGAAATTGTATTCTGAATTCTAACAAATCTGCTCTATAGTGCCTCCGTTTTCAAATGGGTATTGCAGCTACAGTAGCTGCCAGGTATCCAGAAGTAATGACAACATGACTTCCACATCATGGAGTTTTCTCTGGGTGATGAGGTTTGGAATTTAGAAGAAATTACAAACTGCAGTGAATCATTAGTGGGAGCATGTAATTACTCCTCACAGTCATGTGACTCTGGCTCTGAAGGAAAACGTGTTGTGGATTAGCTAGACAGCAAACTAGTGCTTTATGTTCCTCCCTGCCATTATAGTTTTTCAAAATGGTGGAACGCCATGGAAACCTCCGTGGACTTACCCGTCCTGTGTATATACAGATAGGAAATTCTTCCTTATGAGGAGAAGTCAGATCATTGCACAGGTCATTTTACACCAAATGAGGACACATTTATAAATCAAGACAATGATTTTAGGTAATAAATACTTAAAATACTACACAATGTCCCTTTAAAGCAAACTCACAAACATTTTAGCTGTACTCTGGCCATTTGTCTGAGAGTTGACCAGAGGTTCCACTAGCAGCACCGCCATCTCCAGACAGCAAAGGTCATATTAAAAGCCACTCCGGATGTTGTCGAATCGGGGACTTGAGACAAAAAGCCGCGACTGACTTGTCTGCATCGTTGCCCCGGCAGTGACCCCGTTGACCCCGCTGTGCAGTCACCTTAAAAGTGGACCATTACAGTTTAGATTTAGCCGGTTTGCTGCTATTGTCCGCTCACTGATGCGTGAAGACTTTGTTAAACTCACTTAGGTCCAGCTTTTTTTCACCAATAGAAAATGACTGGCGTGGCCACTGTGTCTGAAACTAAAGCCCATTCAGAAGTGACACAAAGTAGGACATCACAAAAGGTTCAGCAGTGTCCGTCAACTAGTTTTTCTGTAGTGGATTTGTGTGGTTAAAAAGTGAAGGGCTATCAATGCCTTTCTTTATTTCAGCCATGTCGTTACCAGGATTTGATTCATCATTACAAAAAGAAATACAGTAGAACCTTTACATAAGAATTGAATTCCTTCCAGGACCTACTTCGTATGTTAAAACATTTATATGCTGGGTTAAATATTCCCATCTGTAATTAGTATCATTTGTTCCACAGCCCAAAAACCTAAGATAACGCCTTAATAAATGCTACAGATAATTACACATAGCAATAAAACAAATGCATTATATAAAAGAGATGTAAAGAGAAATAAATTATAAAGGAATCATTTATAAAAAGTTTTTTTTATTGGCGAACGGAGGTAGAGGTGGTGACTGACACACAGGAAGTACCCTAACTTGAACTTTCACTACGTGAACTTTAAACTGACCTAGCTTATTTATTCTAATTCTATGACTTCGACGTCATGCATCGTATGCTGGAAATTTCTTTTGGGTGTCAAGTCGAATATTTGATTGGATTTCACTTCAGATGTTGGAAAATTCGTATGTTTAGGCGATCGTAAGTAGAGGTTCTGCTGTACTAAAGCAGAAAGGCTGGAGGTCCGACTGTACACCAGTAACACACCTTGTGTTCATCTAGGAAATGATTCCTGCGGAGAGGTCACTGATTGTAGATCTTGACAAGTGTGACTTTGGAGAAATCCATGCCATGCACAAAGCCAAAGTGGAGGCCAGGAAAAACCTGACCAAGGAGGAGAAACAAGTAAGCTCTGCTTTAGTTGTTTAGTCCACAGGTTTTGTGTCTGTTTTGCTCATGGCGATTTGTGCTGTAGGTTATAAAAGAGGCCAATCAGAAGATTGTAGACGAGTACGGCTACTGTCTGCTGGATCACCACAAAGAACGCATCGGCAACTTTAAGATTGAGCCTCCAGGTCTGTTCCGAGGCAGAGGCGAGCATCCCAAACAAGGAATGCTGAAGAAAAGGATCCAACCTGAGGACGTCATCATCAACTGCAGCGAGTAAGTCGCACTGTTTGCTTTACGCAGTGTTCCTGCTACAGAAAATGAGGCAAGACTCAGATTTACCCTGTTTAAAAGAAGGCAAACCATAACAACACACTTCCAATAAGCCTTTTGGAATTTGGCTTTTTTTTTATCATTATAGTTGAGCAAATAGGTTTTCTGTTGTTTTCCCATATTCTTTTTATGTCACTGGTGAATAGAGAGGGGGGCTCTGATATTCTGAACCATAACAGCACATTTTCTGCTGACCACCTGGAATTCTGGGATATTTCAGGGACTTGTGTCACAACTAATTGGGTGTAAGTTATTGAGAAGCAAAAAAATCGTTTCATTTAGATCCATATTAACCTGGAGCATTGTGTTGAGCAGCCATTCAACCCAGTACAAGCACAGGGAGGGAAATTGGACTGGGAGGCTTGAAGTGTTGTCAGAGGTTTCTTACTATTTATTATTATTACACTCGCAAACATGGAAAGAATGCCTGCAGTTATGGAAGTTGTCAATAGCCAGTGGTACTTTCTATCTGTGGTATTTAATTATTCACACAAATGAGACAGATACAATCTAAAGTGACATTTATGTTTTGAAATCTGTGCAAATTATTTGGGGATTTTAATAAAAAGTCATTCTTATCACTTCTATTAATCAGTAAAATGCCTAAATGCCAGATTTTCTTAATCAGAAAATGGATATCGCAACAACTGCGTCACTAAAATGATTCAGTAATTAATTGGAAACTGTAAAATCGAATCGACTCTAATCATTTGAAGCGGATGGGTCTCAAATTTAAATGCGAGTTACTGGAACTGAAAAGAGGGAGACAGGATTCCTGCTGGGATGCTCTTTGCAGGGTCTGAGTCCTGCTTGATGGCACATTCGCACTGAGCTGTTTTGGAGGATTCTTTACTTAACTGGTCTTGAATCCATTTGCAGCCTCTGAATTCGTCTGGTTGTGAAAACCGACTCTGGGATCTCTGTTTTCACGTCTGAAGTGGCGGCTTTTCGTGCTGCTGGTCCGTGGCCTGACACGTCCACAGAGCTCTCACCTATTACTGAGAAGGGCTCTCATCCAAGTAACTTACATCAAGAACCACACGGCCTCCTTTTAGGTGTCGGCACATTAGAGGTGAACGAGAAAGTCCTCGTCCAGCAGCCGTCTGAGAAATTCAATTCAACTTTATTTAAACAGTGCCAAATCACAACAACAGTTATCCAAACAGAGCAGCTCAGACCGGACTCTGAGTTATTTACAGAAGCCCAACAATTCCCACCAAAATTCAGAATTCTGAGGAGGAGCAGCATATAGAATAGAATAGAATCCTTTATTGATCCCACTGTGGGGAAATTTACACATTACAGCAGAAAAAAGGGAAAAAGCACAAGCACAGTGGAGGGATAAATAAATAAAGATTATTTACAATACAACAAAATAAAGGCAAATTACAAGTGAGAGTTATTCAAATGAATAATATGATTATTAAAATGAATTTAACGCCAAATTACCAATTGACTAGTTTACCAATTTACTACTGAGGCTGACACCATGGATCAGGATGAGGGTGTTTTATATCCTAACCGCAAACGTGCGTTTGTGCTGGTGTAAAAGAGCTCCGCACTCATTGGCTGTCGGTCGGCCCCTTTGAGAAGTCAAAGGCTCTGATGTCCCGATGCAGTAAACGAAGACTCGGTTCTTTGTTTAGTTGTGTTCGGCGTGCCCAAAATGTATGTCCGGGTTGGCGCGCCACTCATCTTTCTGATTTCCATTTGAGTGTTTTCCCTTTTGATGCGCGACTCTTTTCAGAGCAGTCACTCCAGAGCTGAGGCTGACATTACCCCCAGAATCAGAATCAGAATCAGAATCAGGTTTATTGCCAAGTAGGTTTTCAGACTTACAAGGAATTTGCCTTGGTGTTTAGTGCACAACACAACACTTCTAAAAATAAAGATATAGGGCAGAATGATAAAACTGAAAAATACAATCTTTAAAAGTATAAATCTGAATGTACAAATTAACAATCTTTAAAAATATAGATTTGAATGTGCAAATTAACAATTGAAATGTGCAATGTTGATCTGCAACAACAGACCAGAAAATGCTGAACGTAGCATTGGGTAAATTAGTGAGGTAGAGGGGGGGGGGAGAAGAATAGGTGGGGGTCGCTGGTCTTGTTGATGAGGCCAGTTGCTGTTGGATAAAAACTGTCTTTATGGCGTGAGGTTTTGGTCCTGATGGTCCTCAACCTTCTGCCAGAGGGGAGAGTTTTAAAGAGTTTGTGACCAGGGTGAGAAGGATCAGACATGATCCTTCCTTCACGCCTTAAAGTCCTGGAGGCGTACAGGTCCTGAAGGGATGGCAGATCACAGCCAATCACCTTCTCGGCTGAGCGAATGATACGCTGCAGTCGGCCCTTGTCCTTAGCGGTGGCAGCAGCGTACCAGATGGAGATGGAGGAGGTGAGGATGGACTCAATGATGGCTGTGTAGAAGTGCACCATCATTGCCTTGGGCAGGTTGAACTTCTTCAGCTGCCGCAGGAAGAACATCCTCTGCTGGGCTTTCTTTGTGAGGGAGCTGATGTTCAGCTCCCACTTGAGGTCCTGGGTTATTGTGATCCCCAGGAAACAGAAGGACTCCACAGAAGCAATTGTGGAGCCACACAGAGTGATGGGAGCAGGTTAGGGTTAGGGTTACGTCAGCTAATGCCCAAATTATATCCAGACGCCATAATGGAGTTGTTCCTGCCGTGTCTGCTGCAGTTCTCCCAGCATTTCCAGCAGCATTTGTCTCCTGGAAATCGTACCTGAGCTTTTCTTTCAGTGGCAGCCGGTCGTGGGCTGTAATGGTATGATTGCACAGTGCAGTGGCGGCAGTTCCTCATAATTCAGATGTGCTCCATTCTGTTAAATTGCAGCTGTTAAGCGGCTGCCCGTAGCCATGTTCACACTCAGTAGGGGGTCCAGTTGAACAGTTTTCTTCCCCCCTCTTCTTCTCTGTCAATAATTCATGTGCAAACACAAGTAAAATGTCTCCAAAACTGAAAAACCGGAATAATGATTGTAAGTTTAAGTGACATTTAAGTGATATCTACATACTGTCCCCCCCCCCTCCCCCCGGGGGGCCTGCCCTGTGTTTGGGACACCCCTGCCTGCTTCATTTCTGACGCGCTGTCTTCCTCTGGCAGAGAATCCCAAGTCCCCGCGCCGCCTGCCGGCCACCACTGGAAAGAAGTGCGGCACGACAACAGCGTGACCTGGCTGGCCAGCTGGACCGAGAACATCCAGGGCGCCATCAAATACATCATGCTCAACGCCAACTCCAAACTCAAGGTAGCCCGTCTGCCGCGTGCCTGGAAACGTGGGTCATCCGTCGGGTCATGTGATGCCTCGGGCGCTCCTCCGCTGACATTAGTGGTGCGATTGTAAAAGAGAAAGGAAAAATGTGGTTGAACACCGAAATTACCTGCAGTTTCTGTATTGATTAGACGCACAGCGTTTGTTGGAGTTTTTTTCCTTTGTCACATTTGATGGAGAGAGTGTATCGAAACGGCTAATCCATAAACGATTAGAGTCTCTCAACCTCTCTTCGTCGAACCTTTAGATGGTCATTGTACTCGTGGACTTTTCGGCCATTCTTCCTCAAAGAATGTCCTTTTTTCCCAGGCTGTCTGGTTTGCCTGGCCCTTATTACAGTAGAACCTCTACCTAGGGTTGTCTGAACATATGAATGTTCCAACATCGACTCGACACCCGAAGTAAATTTGACATCAAAGTCATAGATAAAAATATATAAAATATTTTTACACCTCTCTTATATAATGCATTTGTTTTTATTGCTATGTGTAATTATCTGCAGTATTTATTGAGGAGTTATCGTAGGTTTTTGGGCTGTGGAACGAATTATACGAATTACAGTGTATTCTTATGGGAATATTTGAACCAACATACCAATATTTTAACATACGAAGTAGGTCCTGGAAGGAATCAAATTCGGATGTAGAGGTTCTACTGTATTAATATCATTATTATTTTCTTAGCATTTCGATAGCTGCGCATGTGGGCCTGTTCTGTTAGGTTCTATTACTTATTATTATTGTTTTCTCCGGCACATTTACTGCAGCGTTTAGGGTCATTGTTCGCTTTCTGCCGGATCCCCTCTGCTGCCCTGCAGCTGTTGTCACCCCATAGACTTTTTTTATGTTGCGCCACTTCACATCGAAACAACTCAAATTGTTTTATAAGACAGTGGGGAGTGAAAATTCTCGGTGAAACATGACTTGAAATGACTTTAAATAACCCCGCAGGATTAATAAAGCCTCTGAAATGAACAATATTGTCGTACACAGATGAGCTTTTAAAGTTTTTACCAAAAATGAACCTCCCATGCTGTTCCAGCCCTCATTCAGTGGATGGAAATATGCTAATCTGGTCCCGCCCACCCTCCCCAGCGGCTGGTGTCCACCTTCACTGTCTCCACAATTTAAAGACCAGCTCTAATATTTCTATAGCTAAGCCATAAATGAACAAACAGATGGTTGTTGGATACTTAAATGATTCCTTTTTTAATTCTTTGATGGCTTAGCAAAACGATAAGACGCCATCTATTTTCCAGCTTTTTCCAGCCCTGTTTAAACCAGTGTTCCAGCGATTTCTAGCCCTGTTTAGTCCAGTGTTCCAGCGTTTTCCAGCCCTGTTTAGAAGAGTGTTCCTGAGCCAGGGTCTTCCACTGTCAGCTCCCGTCTGACCTCTGACCTCCCTCTTCCCCGGCTCAGCTTTGCCTCTGCTGTGTTCTCCCTAACGTATTCACAGCCCAGGTGAACGACTGTAAAGCCCCTCATCCATGGCCATAAGGCTGATCGCTGAATTGGAATCAGGATTTAAAACACAAACACCTTCACCGTTTTTATAAAAGTCTACAAAAAAAAGTTGCAGAGGAGATAGTGTTTAAAGAGCTGCTAGCATAACCCGTGAGGGTTCAGGTTTATCTTAAAGCACCACCAGGCGCTGCCGTGGCTTAGATTTCTTCCCTCCAGCTCTGTGTAGCTTCCTAAAAGGGAAGAGCAGATGGTTGAGGGTCATCTGGGCCATTCAGGCGCTTTCTCTGTCACACAGGTGAGAGCGAGACGTGCCCGTTGACACAGCACTCAAATTACTGCTAGGAAAAATCAAGCTCTAGATCAAGTATCGCAACGGGGACGTATCTGTAAGGGTTTGCTCACTTTTTAGGTAAAAACCTTCTGCTAAACACAGATATTTAACATCAAGACATCTGTTTAGTGCCATCTTCATGGACATGCATGACTTTTGACAACTTTATCTTTACTTTTTAGTTCTGAAACTTAAGCGTGAGAGGGCAGAGCTAAATTTGTGGGAATTTCAAAGCTTTGGGATCGTCTTCCCATCTTCCCGTTGCCAAATGAAAATCACCATCTCACTGTTTAGACCAGAGCTGATTGGTCCAGCTATTTATATGAAAAATGTAACAAAAGAATCCAGTTTGTTTTACCATATTGATGGAACTTTAAATTATGTTAATGAACAGATTAATTGTATTGCACTGGCCTATAAACTTGTGTCGTCTTGCTATCCCTCTTCTTCCCCTCCGTTTTTCCCTCCATTTGCTTCGTACCCTCAACTTTTTCCATCTTTCATGTGGAAAGGTTAAGTTATTCCACTGTTAGTCTCCATGACAATGTGAGTGTGTGTTGACTGACGATGGGCTTAATTGCATCGCGGCTGCACTCTGATGAGAATTTTGTCATTAAGGTTTGTCCGCTTTGTGCCTCCCCCGAAAATTCACACCAGTATCAACACACCCAATGTCTCCATTTGCAGCTTTTCAGCAGCAGATGACTTTTTATTATCTCGTTATTTGACTTGTTCATGTTTACCTTCTTCTTTTGTTCATTATCCCTCATTGTCATCCCCTACCCCCTTTATTTTAATGGCAACGCTTTACTTTTCTGGTCGTCTTTTTTTCCTTAAACAGGGGGAAAAGGATTGGGAGAAATACGAAATTGCTCGGAAACTGAAGTCCTGCGTGGATGGCATCCGGAACCAGTACCTGAAAGACCTCAAATCTAAAGAGATGGTCACTCGCCAGAGAGCGGTGGCCCTGTACTTCATAGACAAGGTCTGTTTTTAGGAGAAAATATCAAGGATTAAACGGCAGCTACAAATGTTGTGTTCCCCATGGAGCTGTGTGTATTTACATATTTAAGTGTGCTTAATGTGTGTTACAACCTGTGCACCTTCTGATCTGGAATAGCTGGCACTGAGGGCTGGTAACGAGAAGGAGGAGGGCGAGACGGCGGACACGGTCGGCTGCTGCTCGCTCCGCGTGGAGCACATCACCCTGCACGACCAGCTGGAGGGCAACGAGTGCGTGGTGGAGTTCGACTTCCTCGGCAAAGACTCCATACGCTACTACAACAAGGTCCCCGTCATCAAAAAGGTAAAAGGAAGAAAAGCCCGCACACGTGCACATTTCCCTCCTTCTACTTCCTGTTTGATATCTGTGAACATCCTCAGTCATCCAGGTCAAGCTTTACAGTTCCGTCAGGCAGCTAGAGGGGAAGTTTTGTAGAATACGTTTGGTCTCTGATCCAGAAGCTTCTTCAGTTCTAACTGATGGTGGAGCTCTGAGGTTAATATACTGTAGGTGGAACTCAAGGATTAGGGGAAAACCAAATGTGGCTCAGGTCCCTCCTGCTGGGGGGCCATGGAGGTCACCTGGGGGGGTTCATGGTGGTTAAGGGGCTTTTTTTTAACTTGTTTTTGGTTGTTTTGCTGCTTCTTCCACTTATTTTGGGTTGTTTTGGTACTTCGTCCACTTCTTTTTTTATTTCATCCTCAAAGTGTCCTTCAGCCTTCAGGTGAGCAGCTGAGTCCTGTCCTGAGGAGCCGGGACTCCTGTTTGATACAATAAAGACGAGTCCGTTCTCATTCTCATTAGGACCAGACGTTAAGAAAGGAAGTTCCCTGTGAAACAAAACCGGTACACGTCTGTGATAATGCAGGTTTTGTACACACAGAGCACAAAGCACAGCGGGATGTGACCATCGTTCTAAAGAAATAATGGAGGATTGGAGCTGTGGGTTGTGGTGGTTTAGTTATTCATTTGTTCCAACAGTTGAATAGCTGACCTCCTGCTCCAGTCTCTGTCTTTGAGTTCTCTGTAGACAGTTGTGTTGCGTTTACACCGTGATCCTTGTTTTTATTTGATTTATTTTTTTTTGTATCTGCGCCTTTTGTTGGACTAGACAAAATCTGGAATCTGAAGGTGTCATTCCGTCTGACTTTTAATGAAAATTTCTGTAAAAAAACGCCATTGTCTGGGTTAGATTTCTGATTTTATTTTTATTTTTTTGTGAAACAGTCCATTTGAGGATAAATGTGAACCGCTGGCCTTAATGACATTCCTCATCGTGTGCCAAGAATGTTTTATTCCTCGCTTTAGATTTGAGTTTTTTGCTCTAATTTTGTGTCAATGCAAGCTGAAGGTCATCAAAACTACTCATTGAGAGTAATTGTGAGTCTTCGGTTTGAATGGCTGAGTCCAGCCTGCCCCACAAATCTCACATCACCGCGGCTTGTTCTGCCTTTGTGATGCTGTGTAAAGCCACATGTGCTTCCAATGATAAGTTAAATAGACGTTCAAAACTATTTAAGGGCTGTTATAATGGCTTAAAGACTGACAGGAACCCTGTTAAGCCTTACTCATAATTTCCCCAGTGCTTTGGATTTTTTAGAGTTCACTGTACAAGTTAATAGCTTGTTTCTGGGTTCAGCTCTGCTGTGTTTTCTTTCATGAAGCCTGACATTGTTTTTGATGAAGAGGGAATATTAAACTTTTGTGCGGGGCCTCCGGAGGAAAATCACCGAATTGAAAATGTGAATAAAAGTTAGCTGGAGACATGCATGTCGTGAAGGTTCTCAGATAACTCCGCTTTACACGGCTGTGCTCGCTAAGCAGGAGCAGGCGCACACGGGCCCCCCTCATTCATCCCAGTCGCTTTGATTGGCTTTAGTTTGCTGATTTGCAATATTAGATTATGCAAAACCATTTTTGCAAGGCTTCCTAATCATAAACTGCATTTAGAGGGTGAATGCAGCTAGCTTGAAGGGCGTTAATTGGTTATAGACACCAGCACAAAGCTGTGAAGTTGTGCGCCAGAGTTGTAAAGTCGTCTTCTTATTGGTTTCTTTTTTTGTGCGTGTCAGACTTTTGTTCCGCAGTGTTTTGTTTTCCCGGCCTGGACGGACTGCTATACATGTGACGACAGTAAATGAAAGCTGTGATAATGACCATATGAACCGACCAGTACAATATGTCTGGAAGCCTTTTTCTTTGGTGTGTTTTTTGAGGGGGGGGGGGAATTGTTAAGTTGTCCACGGTCTGTCAAACAGCTGCCACGTTTATGTGTGCCCGCATGTATGCATATGTAAATTTCCAACCCCTCCTCAAGGTGTCAGCGCCTGCTATCTTCCATCCCAGAGATGGGGATAGAAATGTTAACACCTGACAGCCAAAGTGTTTTGTTTCTTGGCAGAACATATAATTATTCAAATGAGTGCATTCAAAAGCATCACATTAGCTCGAATTAATTAGTCCCTGCATATTTTAGCATCATCAATTTCCTGGCAAATCAGTGTGATTGCTGCTAAATGTCACGTGGAATAAAATAGAACAAGAGTGGAAGGAAGGACTTTCTGCCTCTAACCTCTGGAGACGGTTTAAGGCCAGAGAAACCAGTACAACGTGTGCCCGCCAGTCCAACCCCGGGAGAAGGGAAATCTCCCTAATTGCCCAATTACAGTCCAATTTTCCAACAGGAAGACCAGTTTTTGTTTTATTTTGAAGTTATTTTGACACGCGCCACCTGCTTAAACTTTGCCGGAGACCATAAAGGGTTCTGCTGGCGGAAGCCTCATCCAGCAGGGTAGCTGGCCTCAGAGCACGTCAGCTCACCTTTTCCAACATAAACATGTGCTCTACCTCTGAGTTTTATTTATTGAAAAAATAGCATGAAGTGGTGTGCGGTTTGATTAGTTTTTTGCTTGTAGACAAATGCTTCAGATCAACAGCTCACAAACCCTTATGTTTTACAGTGCGATGGACAAATGAAGTCAGGCTGCAGACTCTCTCCTGCACGGCTCAGTTTGGTGGTTTTTTTAAGTGCTGGAATGAATATGTGCAGGTTTTGTGTGTGTGATCTTATGGTTTCCGGAGTTCGGTCTAATGTGACCTTTGTAACCAGACCATTCCGGCAAATGTTCATTTTCATAGCTTCTGATTGCAAATGTCATTTGACGGCTGGTATTTATCTGTCTCTTCAGGTGTTTAAGAACCTTAAACTCTTCATGGAGAACAAGGAACCTGGAGATGAACTCTTCGATCGCCTCAATGTGAGTGTCCCTCCATTTCTGCACGCACTTCCAGGCCCCAAGTGCCTCCAGCTCTCGGGGCGCGTTATATAAAACATCTTTCCGTGGATCAGCTAATACTCAGGGTCGTGTGAAAACGTCTCAGAGAGCCAAACTTCTCTGAAGTGTGTAATATTTGGCGAGAGAGAAAAAAGAAAGGAAAAAAGACTGTTTCGTGGGCAGAAGAGGACGGTAAAGGAAAAGGCAGGGACTAAATTGTAAGATGAGATTGAATGGGGATGAGCCGTTGGCGTGGAGATGAAAGGGCTAAAAACGAGGTAACGGGAGGTGAGGAGAAGAGGGGAATATTAGAGGCTGGGAGACTGAAAGCAGAAAAGTACTTTCAAAAGAGAGAGGGGATGGACTGGAGCAGATTAAAAAAGAAACTGTGCGAATAAGAATTTGAGCCGGCTGGATGAATATCCACCAACGTCTCGTGAGGCTGAGAGGGTACAGAGGTATGGGGAAGAGTTAGGATAGGAGATGCTCTGTGAAGAGGGGGGTCTGTAGGAGTTTATGAAGACAGACAGGGACCTGCTGCTCTTGTAGCGCCTGGTAGGTCGTTCCACCATCTTGGAACAACAGCTGAAAACAGTCTGGATTAGTCTTAACGTGGGGCAGCTCTGCTAGACCACAACCCACCGATGACCGGAGGATGGAGAAACGTGGCAGTGGACAGAGGCAGCGCGGTGCCCCATTTCTGCTCCCAGTGTGTCCTAAATGTCAGCGCGTTGGAGGTGGAATGGAAATGCTTATGGCAGAGCAGGCTGACACCCGGAAAGGCCAGGACACAGGAAGGAGGATGAGGAGGGAGAAGGAATGTGAAGCAGCTGGTTTCTTCTGGGTTTCTCATTCCCTCCATTTAACTGGACCTGGGCAAGTGAATATATAAATCGACCCAAACAACCTGGAGGAGCTGGAGGGGGGGGTTCAGTCAGTCAGCCGTGTTTAAGTTCCACAGAGTTAGTTTCTTTACTTCAGGATAAGTACTCAAGCATTTTTCTGTCTCTCAGCTGGAAGGTATTCAAACGGGGGTCCTGCGGGCTTAATTGTGCATTGTTGGCGTGAAATTCAGTAGAACCTCTACATACGAACTTAATTTGTTCCGGTACCTTCTTCGTGTGTTAAGATATTCGTACGTTGGTTCAAATATTCCCATAAGAATACACTGTAATTAGTTTAATTCGTTCCACAGCCCAAAAACTTACGATAACTCCTTAATAAATTCTGCAGGTAATTACACATAGCAATAAAACAATAATTAATTATAAATAAATAATCAATAAAAAGGGTTTTTATTGGCACTAAACCTGATAATGGCCTGTCTTTCTTGAGATATTCAAAAAAATGTGCGAAATGGTGCACATTTGGATGCCATAAAAGTTTCACCGGGTGTCACAAAGTCAAAGAAAAGGAAAGGATATTCTTTTTTTATGTTTTGTTTTTCAAAACCTGCCTAATCCAGTTCTGAGTCCGGGGGGGGTCTTAAGCCTGTCTGATCCCACTGTGTGGGTGTACCGGCCCAGCACAGGGTCAGCTCAAAGACAAACTACACCAACAACATTGCCTACTGGCTCTCAGTCCAAGGTTTAAGGATCTCTCTTTGTATTTTAACCCCTGTGCTCCCTCCTGGGGTCATTCTTACCACGGATCCAGCATGAATGACCCCAGGAAGGCGCGCGAGGGGAACAAAGTGTACACAAAAGGGCCCTAAGCGAACTCACTTAAAGCTAGATGTGGGTCACAGTGCACAGAGCAAAACACACTAACGGGTGCTGGTTTTCCTGTCTGGAATGAGGCTCGTTAGACCTCCAAATCCAGTCGGACCATTTACCAGAGACGGATCAAACTCCGCTTTTAATTCCACCGCTTACACAAAGGCTTAAACCGTTTGATTTTTTTTTTTTCAAGTTTTAATTGCCTTATTTTCCTGTGTTTAAGCTGCCCATTAAGTGTAATAATGTCAAATCTGACAAGCTCTTTAGCAATTGTAATTTCCACCTGCGGCGCCTGGAGTTTGAGAGCAGAGAAGTGATGCTCATCAGTGGAGGAGTGCAGATGTTCGGCTGGGCTTCCACAGGCACATCCGTCATGTCGGACTCCTCCAAACCCAAAACGCCGGTGTCAGGCTTTTCTGCAGGCATCCCCCCGGAGAGTCCACATCATTACAGCCACAACTCGCTCACACCATCGGCCCGAGCTGGACCGCTCTCAGACCGACTGTAACCCGTCAGCCGAGCTGTAGTTCAGCCCGTTCCACTGGTTCACGTTGTTTATGTTTCTGCGTTTAGATGCTGTTATCCAAAGCGACTTACAAAGTAGACACAATGTTACACTTTTATAGCTGTTTTTTGGGAATCTAAAGCTGTTTTTTGGGATTTATATCTGTTTTTATGGCTGTTTTGGGGGGCTTTAGAGCTGATTTTTGGGGATTTTAAAGCTTTTTGGGTGGGCTTTTTATTAATTATTTCTTAATAATTTATTTATTTTCATATCTCTATTATATGATGCAGTTGTTATATTGCTCTGTATCTATTACAGTGTATTCTTAGGGAAATATTTGAGCCAACATACGAATATTTTAAGTAGTTATGTAACTTTATGTAAGTAGGTACTGGAACAAATCAAATTCATATGTAGAAGTTCTACTTTACCACCAGCAGATCTCTACAGCGGTGAGGAATACTGAGCATCACCGCGGCTGCTTTAGCTCAGCAGCCACGTCGGCGCTGGCATCACCAACACATAATCACCGACAGTATGTTAATCCTGACCTCCAGATTGCTGCTTCCTGTCGTATAGCAGGGGGAAGTCGGAGGAGCTGTAATCACACATCATGCTAATGCCCCAGTAGATGGCGTGTCTGGCTTACACAAACACGCACACGTATGCATCCTGACACGCCGCACGCCATGCCAGGGGTGTCGGGGGGGGTGAGAGGAGCCGCACTTGCCCCTCAGACCTGCGGACGCCCTCATTAGTGTCGTGTTGTGGGTGCAGGGCTGGGTAGCTCATTAGGAAGTACCTGTGTGGTCTCCCGCTCATACCAACAACCCTACATATGGAAACAAGGAAACAAGCGCTCCTTCTCTTTCCGCTGGGCTCCTCCACTCAGCTGCATAGCGATGCAGGTCCGTGGCCTCGAGCTGTCGGGGGTGAATTGCGTTTTAATTAAACCAGCCCCAAGTTTTCTGCGTCGTTTGTTCCCATGCGAACACCCACCCTCTCCAGCTTTCTGATTTTAATCTGCGATTAAGACGCTTGTTTTTTTCCACAACTTTTCACGTCTTATCAATAAGTGTGTTTGTTTTGGTTTCCAGCCATTTCCATTATGTGACTACCCTTTCATCTTTGTTGTCGTCTTCAAGCTGCTGTCATTTCAGGGGAGCTAATGGCTATCTAACCACCGCCTCTGACAACTCTTACTTGCTGTAATATGCACAGAAATGGCAGAGGGGAAATAGTACCGTGAACTTTCTTTATCTGCCTTCTCTAATGGATGATTTATTTTAAAAAACAAAAAGGGAAAAACATGGATTTTTTTTTAAATGTTTGTTTTTAGATGCTCCCACCAGCAGGAGCATGGTGCCACAGCGCCCCCTTGTGGTGGAAACCATGCTGGGCAGAGATAGACTTGTGTTGTCATTCCCTCTTTGCAGACGGGCCTCCTGAACAAACACCTGAGCTCTTTAATGCCCGGCCTGTCTGCAAAGGTCTTCAGGACGTATAACGCCTCCATCACCCTGCAGCAGCAGCTCAAAGAGCTCAGCAACAGTAAGTTTCTGTTTCTGCATTTAGACGCTTTTATTTAAAGTGACTCACAAAGCAGACACAATGTTCCAGTTCTCATCAATCTGACAATAAGCTTCAAAGGTGTTTTGGGGGCTTTAAGGCTGTTGTTGAGGGATTTTAACTGTGTTTTGGGGGCATTTAAAGGTCTTTTTTGGGTCTTCAAAGCTGTTTTTAAGGGCTTTTAAAGCTGTTTTGTGGCTTTTAAAGCTGTGTTTTGTGGCTTTTAAAGATGTTTTTTGGGGCATTAAAGATGTTTTAAGGGCTTTTATGTTTCTGTTCCTGCATTTAGATGCTTTTATCCAAAGCGACTTTCAAAGTAGAGACAATGTTCAGGTTTTCATCAATCTGACAATCGGCTCTCTAGACCAATATCCCCAGTCAGTCAGTGGTGACGGGAGGAGATAAAGGGAAGCACAGAAAGGAGTAAAGGGGTACAGAGGTATGGGGAGGAGTTAGGATTTAAAGCTGTTTTGAGGGCTTTTATGTTATGGTAGGTCCGTCCACCATCGTGGAACAACACCTGAAAACAGTCTGGACCGTCTTAAGGTGGTGCAACAATTAAGACAATCCAGACTGTCTCAGGGAATAATCAACACAAGAAGCCATGTTGGAAAGCAGTTTTGCATTTATGTGTCTGCGGATAAACGTGTGTATCTCCTTTTCCTGTCCCTCCCAAAGAGTCGGACAACGTGGCAGAGAAGCTGCTGTCCTACAACAGAGCCAACAGAGCCGTGGCCATTCTCTGCAACCACCAGCGGGCGCTGCCCAAGACCTTTGAGCAGTCCATGGCTAACCTCCAGGCCAAGGTGAGGCCCAGGCTCCGTTAAAGGTCCGTTCAGGCTCCCGCCCTCACGCTGGCTGAACGCTTACGCCCGCATGTCCCCCCCCCCCCAGATCGACACCCGGAAGGAGCAGCTGGCTCTGGCCAAGACGGAGCTGAAACAGGCCAAGAAGGACGCCAAGAGCAAAGGCAGCTCCGACCCCAAGCTGCAGAAGTAGGTGTCACTAAGCCTGCAAAAACCAAAAAGTAGATGTAATCACACACCTGATCAAATTTCACTTTGGATGTTGGAAAATGTGTAAGTTTAGATAATCGTAAGTAGAGGTTCTGCTGTACTGAGATATCAATCCAAACATTTCGGCTTTGTTTGCCGCTAATGGAAACTCTTCTCTCGCCCGTCCAATCGGCTCTCGGGCTGCGTCCCCTCACCTTTTTCCAGTTTGGTGGAGCGCAAGAAGGCGGCGGTGCGGCGCTGCGAGGAGCAGCTGCTGAAGCTGGAGGTCCAGGCCACCGACCGGGAGGAGAACAAGCAGATCGCTCTGGGCACCTCCAAGCTCAACTACCTGGACCCACGCATCAGCGTGGCCTGGTGAGTGGATCCACATCCCACCTGCAGACAGGGGGGGGGGGGGGCAGCAGCTTAGAAAGCTGGGGGTGTGCCTACCCCGTATGGAGGCTTCAGGGGGTGTCCAGTAATGTTTCTGCATTCAGACTCTTTCATCCAAAGCTATGTTACACTTTTAAAGCTGTTTTGGGGGCTTTTAAAGCTTATTTTTGACTGCTTTTAAAGCTGTTTTGGGGGCTTTTAAAGCTGGTAGGTCAGTCCACCATTGTGAAACAACACATGAAAACAGTCTGGACCGTCTAAGGTGGTGCAGCTCTGCTAGTGGACAACGCTCAAGACAATTCAGACTGTCTCAGGGAATAATCAACACAAGACGCCATGTTGGAAAGCAGTTTTGCATTTATATAGCCATAAAGGAAAAAAGCAACAGGTGTACAAAGGTTAATAACTCTTGTTAAATGTACAGATGGTTTAGTCCAGCTTAGAGCACAATACTCAGACGGCTGTTGTTTTGCTCAGGAGTAAAAACATGGAGGTGCCCGTGGAAAAGATCTACAACAAGACCCAGCGGGATAAGTTCGCCTGGGCCATCGACATGACGGAGGCCGACTTTGAGTTCTGAGGCGCCGCTCCCAAACGCCACGGGGAGCCCTCCACCCCCACAACCCCCCGGCTGTTCCACATTAAGCGTACAGGACTGTGAGAAGACGGCTGCGTGACCCGCTGGAGCTCTGCCCCGACGCCGCTCCTCTCCGTTTGAGGACGCTCGTTTTGTTTTGATTTGACCGCTCCGTTTGTACATTTTCATGCATTAAGTTGAATAAAGGTTCCTGCTATGCAATGAGGCGGAAAAAGGTGTGATTAGTATGACTTTTTAATTTTTTTTAGGCGGAAAATGCTCCAGTAATTCTCCAGGAACAAGCTGGTTGTAATGAATCCGTATCATGCTGAAGACTCAAAGACTGGAGATGCTGGTTTTACACGTTTAAAAGGAAAAGATCAAATACAGGAAACGGCGCACCAGCTCAGAGATAACAAACAGCAATTTATTAAAGAGTTTTAATAAAGAATATCAGAGGTGGAATGCATCCGGCTCCTCCTGACCGGCAGCGAGTGCCGTCAGGGGAACACTGGGGAGCTTCACTGGCCTGTTAGCGGACCCGCACCCTTGTGAGGTGTTCACTGACACGTGGAAGAGACGGTGCCTAAAAGACCTCGAGGCCGGAGCACCGCCGCCCTAAACTTCTGGAGGGGGGGGGGGGGGCATCACACTAGTCTAACTTACAAATGACGTTCATCGTTTTCAAGCCTTTACGTAACTGTAACCGGTTCACAATGTTCAATATATAAAAAAGCATTTCACACAACGACACACCAAATCGATACGAGTCGTCTTCAGCGGAAAAGTCAGCTGGACCGACGTCACCCCCGACGGGGGAACCTGAGGGGAGACAAAAGAACGGGGACAAAGTCAGCCTTCTCCTCTGGCCCAGGTCAAGCTTTAAAGTCCAGTTCAGGCAGCTGGAGGTGAAGTTTTCTTCTTCAGCTCTCACTGATGGTGGAGCTCTGAGTTAATATACTGTAGGTGGAACTAAAGGATAAGGGGAACTGGACTTTAAAGCTTCTCCTCTGTTCTTTCATCCCACCCCCCTGAGGGGGCGGCTGGGTCTACGGCTTACCTTCATGATGATCCTTGGCCCTCTTTGGGTTTCTCTGGGGGAGCCTCTATCTCCTCCACCCCGGCTTGGGTCATCAGGTCAGCGATGTTTTTCTCCAGGTCGTCGATGCGTGTGCTCATCTCGTCGAGTACAGAGACGGTTAAGGGCCACCAGAGAGGTCAGAAGGGATCTGGTCTACTTTTAAAAAGCTGTCAGTGTCTAATCACGGGGTAAAGCACTCTGAAAGTTAAGTCGGGAAAAGTCAAGTCCAACTTTTCTTTCAGGTTGCCAGGACAACCGTGACCTAAATGATGGAGAAACACAATGACGACTCCTACTTCACACAATTGGGATTCAAATAAAAAAGAAACAAACAGATTTTCTCCTCTGAAGGCCATTTTAAGGATATTCCTGCCAATAATCTGATCCGACATGGTCTGGAACTTGTCCTGCATCTGTTGGAGCAAAGTTTGGACCTATGAGGGTGGAAAAAAAACAGAAAGAAAGAAATACTTATTATCAAGCCAAAAAGGAATCAGTTCAAACAGAAAATACGGTGCCAGAAATTAGTATTAAAAGTGACTTCAGGCACTGAAGACGGCATAAAAACTGTTGCCTTGTTTCCATGCCAACAGTTTAAGTGGTAATCCTGGAGATGACTCTTTAATACATTTCTTATGATCATGCCTGCTTATAAATAACAGCACAGATTTTTACAGCAACTAATCTGTTAAAGCTCCTTCATCAGCATCAAATTCAGAGACATCCAGGCTTAATTTGTTCTTTACGCATGCAAAGAAATGGCTGAAAAATCTAGACTCATTGGTTATAGGTACACAAAGCAATTGTAGTTCAAATATTTGTTATGAATGACTTAAATCCCACTATCTCCATGGTAACCCCCAAACACGTCAACTAAACCATTTTAAAACAAGTGGAATGGAAGTTTACGGACAGGTCAGAGAGGGATGAGCATATTGTGCTGGTGTAAGTGGAGATAGGGAGAAGATTCGATGGGATGTGGTGATGTGCTCCGTGATCTGATGATGTCATTTAACTGACCGCTTGGCTATTACATAAACAGAGGAAGCTAAACGATGGGGGCCTAGTGTCGAATAAAAGGAAGGCGTGCACGCAGTTTAAACACACACTAAACGCACCTAATCCAGTGACTCGGGTGCGAGCACTTTGGCTAAACTTTGCAACCTAGCTTGCTATTAAATAGTAATTTTATTAGCACTGCTAGCTAGCCCCGTGTAGCTAGCAGTGCTAGCTTGCATCGCAATCACGACTCACCACGTTAGTAAGGTCCTGAACCGATTTGGGGTCTGTCTCTGCCATGTTGTGGTGTAAAAGACTAACCAGGCCTTCGCAGCACCAAAAAACGAAAAGGCTGTAAGGCTATTATTTCCCTTTAAGTATCACTGCTCACAGTAAGCATTAACTTACACCACCCGCTAGCACCATCAGCTGTTTAACAACGGAGGAAATCTCGCGAGAGGTTGCGCCAGGACAGCTCGGATAGCTGGGACATGCAGTTCCGAGTGAGGAGTCCGCAGCTTTGTTTTTAGCCCGTGCGGGGCGCAGGGAGGTCCTGGAAAAGCAGCCACTCTAGAATCAACCGAGGGGGCAGCGTGTTTAGCACCGAAATGAAAAACGAATCAAAACTTGTAATTGCAACGAGGAGCAGCTGTTGTCTGGGCGCGCGCGGATGCGTGCCTGTGTGCGCGCGCACGCCTCTCCTCCTCTGTTTGAGCGAGTTGGTATTTGAAAGTTGGAGCTTCCAGGGGAGCGGAGTGTTTTTTAACATTCGCGTGAGAGAGTGCACGTTGTGTTTTTTTTTTAACTGAAGAAAAGTGAATGAAGGTCACAGGTAAGCAAAGCTGGAGGATAGAAAAAAAAAACATCAGATCAATATGATGCTTACAATTCTGCAGGAATAAAGTTGTTGTTAAAGAGCGACCCAAAACCAGACCCGTGAGTTCTGTGCCAACAGTAGCCAAAACATGTTTGAAAACAAATCAAAATGTATTGTTTGAATCATTTTAGACTTCCTCAGATCATTTAGGAGAGATTAATCTTATCAGAAAGAGGTGATTCTATCAAACAAAAGTGGATCACAGCCTGTGCCTTATAACAATGTAACCAGACTGAATAAGAACTGTTTCTTTGTGTTCTTTTACTTAAACCCAGTAGCCCCAAACTGATGTGAGGAAGTTTAGTTTTTTGTAGTTGTTTGGACATGTTGGCCCAACCCAAATAAGAAATGCCCTGCTTACATAAGAAGGCTTCCTCTCAGTAAGCAGAGGTGGCAAAACTCATCAGGACTGTGGGTTTACTTTGAAAACGGAAATAACTAGAGTTCTCCTGGACTTTGGTTTTGTTAAATGGTTGCTAGAGCTTGATTTGTGTATTATATTCTTTATGATCTTACCTTTGTAAATGTTCTACACGTATGATATATGACTTATTCAAGGCTTAAGAGTTTATTTTTGCAACACAAGTTCCTTCTGCCATTTACTGTGTTTTAGGGGACTTGGACCTGGGATTACTGATGTTCTTAACTTCATAACTTAGTTTTCATAACTTAGTTTTCATAACCTAATAATCAAATGTGTAATTAGATTACATTCTCTCTGGTGCTGTGTGAGATAATTCCCTGGATGTGGTTAGGTATTCCTATAAACAAAAACCTGTCGGTTAGGTTTTTTTTCAGTGGAAAAGGCCTACGCCTGACTTACTGTCTGCTATTACAGTTTGCTCAGAATGTGGAAGGTATGCTTATGTACACAGCAGCACAGCAGCTTTTTTTTTTAAATAACTGAAGCAGAACTATTTCAGATTGTGAACTTAAGGGAGGCGTAACTTGGTTCTGCTGCAGGCCGGACGGGCAGGTTCTGAATGTCTGGACGTCTTAGAGGAGTGGGTTAGTGGGAGGAGATGCTGCTGGCTGGTGGTTAGACTTTTATCTGCAAACCGACGCCTCCAACGGCACCCGGCTGTCATTCCTGCCCCTCAGACTGCTGAATGTTTGACCTTTGACCTTTCACAGCTCTCCACATCTGCTGAAGATCTTAGACTAAAACTCCTCTATTTTCATCCCCATCAAACTGTGGCTTATAGTTCAGTTAATGCTGTCATGTCTGAAATATTTAGCAGTACAAAGTACTGCTTGTCTACAACTGAGGGGACCAATTTTTTATCTTTTTAAGGAAAAGTATAAATTGATTAGTTTAGTTTAATATATGAGATAACATCTGGACAAACAGCCTATATTTGAAATTCTGTTTCATTAGAAAATTGAAGGAAAATGACAGATATATATCAACCAGACCTGTAGCTTGTCTAAAAATAAGCCACATTTGCTGAAAAATGCTAATCAGTAAAACAGTTTATTAGTTATCATGTTGTAGAAACTTTACTATGGTTCTGTAGTCTCGTGGTGGCAAAGCTCACCCAAAGCTCACCAGTTAGTTTTAGCACAGGCTCCCTGCTATGTCTGGTTTTGGTTTCTAAACTGTGTTAATCCAAGTGAAACCACAATGGTTTAATCACAATTCCATGTAGCGCTCTTATACATGAATAAAGAGCCTAAGCAGGACCCTCATAATGCTTATCTTCTCCTGAAAAACCAAACTATCCAGGGAGGAGGGGATCTTCTCTTAAACTGTCTGGAATGTGAACTCATCCAGAGCGAACGAGCATTTGGGATGTAATCAGCCTGATTTCCTTTAATCCTGTTTGGCTCTTGGGGAATGTTGGAGCTGGTGGAGGCCTCCGTGTCCCATGACAGCGGTCAGCATCCCACAGCTGCTGACCAACAGGGCCCTGTTGTCTGTCGGCCCCTCAGAGCTCCCGGACTGAGCTTCCCCTCCTGCTGTGATGGACGCGGACGGGGCCCCGCGGGGGGAGGACATGGAGGGCTCCTGGACGCTGGTGTCGCTGGCCGCCTCCCTGCTCATGGTGTTCGGGGGGGCCCTGCCCTACGTCCCGCAGTTCCAGGAGATCCAGAGGAGCAGCAACACCGAGGGCTTCTCCACCAGGGTGTGCCTGCTGCTGCTCGTGGCCAACATCCTGCGCATCTTCTTCTGGTACGCACCGGGAAAAACCATCATTTAAGCCAGTGGTTCCTAACCTGTGTTCTGTCCAACCCTGGGGGTTCTCAGGGATTCTAAGGGGTTCTCAGGGGTTCGGCGAAGGTAAAGACAAACGGTGTAAAGTCATGATGAAGTGCTGTAAGGGGTTTAGTGCAGGCAGTAGTCAACGGCTGTCGTAGGTCGCGTGGTTGGTTTCTTTCTTAATATTTTAATCTATGCTAAATATGTCGAGCAAAAAAAGAAAGTGGTGGGACGAATTTGTACAACGTGGATTCACGTGCATCACTGAACGGGACGGGAGTCAGTGTCCTGTCTGTTTCATTTGGGCGATGCTTAATTCTGGCCCCAAAAAGTATTATGTGGATTCAAAACGACAAAAAAACAAATGAATTTTTTTTTTTTTATTAAGTAAAGTTAAAAAAAATGTACATTATTGAAAAAATCTAAATTTACATTTAATTAGTAAAATAGTAAAGAAAAAACGTTTTAATTTCTCTTTGAAATGAATCGGGAGAATAAAGTAATACATTAATTTGTTGTGAGTTCATACACTGTGTTGCCTTTGTTCTTTGAGTATGTCCATGTATGGTTCATATTGTGCACCAGTAAAAAAACATATAGTTATGTCTTGAATTTGGAAAAAAAATCATATTTTATTTATCACTAAAGAAGGATCAGTGAATGCACATCTGAAACTATTGGGTTCAGTAGCAAAAAACAGGTTAAGAACCGCTGATTTAAGCTGTCAGACGTGCTTTCATGAAAAATCACACAAAGCTGATTAGGAGCTGGGACGTGCAAACAGAAGCGAACATGTCTGTGGTTGGTGACCGTCTGTGGTTGGTGACCGTCTGTAGTTGGTGACCGTCTGTGGTTGGTGACCGTCTGTGGTTGGTGACCGTCTGTGGTTGGTGACCGTCTGTGCTCTGGTTCTGGCAGGTTTGGGAAGCAGTTTGAGCTCACGCTGCTGCTCCAGAGCGTGGTGATGATCCTCACCATGTTCGCCATGCTGCACCTCTGCTGCGCCGTCCAGAACGCCAACCGGGTCAGCACCAAGCAGCGCCGGCTCACAGGTAACCGCCAGAAAGGCTCCGGCCGGAGACGGTCAGACTCCTCCCACGTGAATTTGAAAGATCCATCCATCCATTATCGTAACCGCTTATTCCTTAATGGGGTCACGGGGGGACTGGAGCCTATCCCAGTGGTCAATAGGGAGAGGCGGGGTCAGCAGTCCATCACAGGGCCACACAGAGGCACACAAGGACCAACACACACTCACACTCACTCCTAAGGGCAGTTTGGAGTGTCCAATCAACCTAACATGCAGGTTTTTGGATGGTGGGAGGAGCCCGGAGAGAACCCACCAGACACAGGGAAAACATGCAGACTCCACAAAGAAAGGTCCTGGTTCCCCCGGGGACTCCAACCTATCGGGGACTCGAAATCACAAGCCAAAAAGCTGTGTCAGCAGTCGGTGGTTTCCCTCCGACTTTTTGCCAAAAGAGGGAGCCATTTGAAAAGCTTACATAAGAGGCATGCTGCTAAGGAATATCTCTCACAGCCTCTTATTGTCTGTTCGTTTTTACCCATCCTTTGTGTCATTAGATGCTAAAAAAAAAGAGTGCAAGTAACAGACCCTAAAGATAAGGACTGTTAATAACTAATAATTGTAATGATGCTAGCCTTCGAACGGAGTTAAACAACAATTAAAAACGTGTCATCTTGCGGGTGCACAATTTGAGTTGAGTTAAAAAAAGTCAATCAATCACTGACGTGATTACAATAAGAAGGGATGGATGTACAATTTTACAAAATTTCAGAACTGCTTTGCAGGAGAAAGAAATGGACTCAGATTTAGGGTTTGGAGACTGTTTGGTCAGAAGGCTGACCAAAAGTCCTCCGACATGAAGGATTCTGTGGCTGTTTAAGAGGAGGAAGTGAAGGAAGCATTGACACAAAGGAGCTACGGTTCAGATAATTTTTGGGAATTCAGAGTGAACTGTGGGCGTGTCCACAGAAAAGGGAACCCATCCCAGATTGTTTTCAGGGTCACTTTATATGGGCGTCTGTCTTTTCTGGGTAATTGTGTATTTTTATGGACGCCGAAGCTGATTGCTTTTGCAAACGGGACGACAGAAATTCAATCTGCAGTTTTTTTTTATTAGATAACAGCCCACAGTATTATTGGGAATGGAATGGACTAATACTTTGGCTGAGTTATGTCGACTGGTTGGGGTTTTGTTGGAGGTTATCTTTTGAAAAGCGCGTTTTCATTTACCGTTAGCGGTAAATCTCACGCCGCGAGTAAACAGAGTCTTTTGAAAAGTTCTATTATGTCTGCGGAACGCTGATGATTTACTCCTCGTTAATTTAGCTTTTAAAACAAAAAGCTTGATCACGGCCCACCCCGGGCTGTTCGTGGCCGGTAAAACGAGGCCTGATGTGGTGGGCTGTGTTTGCTCTGAGGCTGAATTTCAGAGGCTTTTTTGAAGGGCAGCTCTGAGCTCTGGTTACTCATACAGCTGAGTTGGGGGATGGGGGGGGGGGGGTCCTGACCAGAATAGACCACAGCAGCCCCCCCCTCCTGACCGCCAGCTCCTCCATCCATCTCCCCCCTGTTAAGCCTCTCCTACAGATCAGGGTCATCTATATGTAAAGCAGCTGCCTCTCTCTCCAAATGACGTTGTCATGGTTACTGCACAGGTAGCTATTTTTGTCCATGTTGATGCTCAAAACTTTCCGATATTTACTCGTCTTTCTTTTACTTTCGCACCTCCCTCCTGGCTTCTGGTCCCCCTCCTCAGCCGTCGCTGTGTCCGACCCATTTCCCGCATCCTCACAGAACCACCGGGGGGTTCTGTTTTTAAGTCCTGTGCTCTCTGGATTTCTGTCGGTTGTTTCAGTCCACGTTTGGGTTCTGCCTCCTCCACGAGGTGCCGGCTGAGAAGCGGCTCCGGCTCCCGCGTTGCTGCGTTCAGTCAAGCATCCAGTGGAAACAGGAAACCGTGGGCTGCTGGGAATATCTGAGAATACATGAGATGTAACAACTATTTTATTCTTCAAAAGACGCTTTGTGCAGCAACTTGGTGCAAAGAAAAACAAAAAAAAGCGTAGTTGCTTTGAGTTGTACTTCAGTGTTTGCATCCCGCTGACTGAGGGGAGGATTGAGTTCTGACTTTGTAATATCAGGACGTATCAAACCCGCGTTCTGGTGCTCGCTTGTTTCTTGGCCCTCTTCTCACTTGACATTAACGTGCACTTCAGGGTGGTCTGATCACCAACGGACTCCACTCTGACGCCGGTAGAGTGTCCAGTGACCTCTTGCTATCGGGTTACGCTTCACTGCTGTGCATGGAGGTTAATTTTGGACAGATCAAGAGCCGGAGCCTCGCAGCGGTTCTGTTCAGAGAACCCGAGTTTGAATCTGTGACTCCGTACCGGTACCAGACTGTGACCTGCAAACATTTCCACATTCAGTCTGTACCTATTTTAAAGGTCCACGGTGCAGGAATTCCTCCCATCCAAGGGTCTAGTTCCTCCGTTTTCAAATGGGTATTGCAGCTACACGTTGTGGATTAGCTAAACAGGCAGACTAGTGCTTTATGTCCCCTCTCTGCCATTATAGTTTTTCAAAATGGCGGAACACCATGGAAACCTCCGTGGACTTACCCGTCCTGTGTATATACAGATAGGAAATTCTGTATTCAGATCATTGCAGAGGTCATTTTACACCAAATGAGGACACATTTATAAATCAAGACAATAATTTTAGCTAATAAAATACTTAAAATACTACACAATGTCCCCTTAAAGACACCAGCTGTGCAGTGCTTCCCTTCTGTGATTGGCTGCTGTCTGATTTAAGCTGAGTGCGTGTTCCTACCCAGGCCTGTTTTGATTATTGTCAGTGGAATTTGATTGTGGCGTATTTGCTCCCCTGCGGTTAGAGCCGTCTGTCTGTGATGGCGTCATCCCAAACACGCGTTCCTAGAAAGAAAGAAAAACACTATCGCCGCATTTGTGGAAAAAGCCTCTAAATCAGACCTGAAGTCAGCGTAAAAGCAGCTGTTTTACGAATGCCTTTTTAGAGGAGTGTATATATTCTTATTCAAACCCGGTAACTCCTCTTTTTTGTCCTGTACATTTTTCAGTAAGTGCCTCCCGGCTGCAGGCATCATTTGAGGGGAGCAGGCTGAAAGCGCTGCTAATGTGGAGGCTGGAGGAAAATCCACATCATTAGCCGGCCACACAATTCTCCAGTCGTGTCATGACATTACTGGGATGGAGTGAAAGTGTTTTTGTAGGTGTATGAGTTTGAACGCACCAGAAAAAGCAATCCCTGCCCCCCGATGCTTTCGCTGACGTGCAGCAGCGTCAGAATGAAAGCTCAGCAAAAATCTGGCCTGATTTTTTTCCGATGTGCGTCAGCCTTGTTACACTGCCCATTACCGGACACTCCACACTCCCCATTACATGTAAGACATTTTTATAATGTGTAATGCTGACTTTAGGATTGTGGACTTGAAGCCCGGTGACCTACAGAGTGAAATGGGAGCCTGCGGGCCGCAGCTGGACGCACGGCCGATGACTTTCCTGTGACTTCCAGCCGCTGCCTCGGGGTGCCCCATTAACAGCTCCGGCCTCACGGTGTCGGGATGGAGGCCTGGTGGGAGCGCAGGGGGAGTGGAAGGTGACCTCAGGCTTGGTGCAGTGATGCAGAGGATTCCGGAGCAAACAAGTTTCTCCCTTCAAACCACCCAAATCTGATCTATTTTTCATTTTTAGTTTGATAAAATCTAACCTGAGTAGTTTGTTTAAAGATTGAATTCTGTCTGGATGGAACAGCATCCTCCTCTACTGGTTGAAGTAGGTAAGACAGAGCTTGTAAACTTTTAAGATAAACACTCACAGTTTTTACTAGCTTAAAGTGACTTAATTAGCTGCATGGTGTGAAGCATAATTAGGGTTTAACCAACCATAAAGGAGATAAATGTTGTAAACTCTGTGCTCCTCCCTAAAACCTTTAGGACCAAAGTGGTAAAAAGAACTTTGTGACTTTTTTGCCATTGTCTCACATTAATTCCCAGGTTAAGTTCTAAGTTTAAGTTTTCTGTTTACTTGGTGTGCTCGCTGGTGTTTCCCTTCTGCAGCCTTCAGCTGTGAAATGGGTAGAAGTGGCTGAGTCTGAAGATGCAAATGCCTGATGACTCACATGTCCAACGGTGATCGCCAACATTGTGAATAAGAGCCAGAAAACAGTTTCTCAGTCGAGAAACAGCCCACGAGCACCATAGGACAGCTTCTGATGAGTGATACAGGCAGAATGCTGATGTCCAGTAGGGATATTTTTAATGCTTTGGAAAAAAATTGGGGAAACACGGTGAATCTTATCTCTCTGGTCCTGAAACAACACATTACAGAATCAGGAATGGAAATAAATCTCTCTGGAACTATGTGCCATACACAGAAATGAATACCTCAATTCTTCTGTGTGTTTTTTTTTAAAGACAGGGGAAAAAAAGACAGGGATAAAAAACTATATATATAACAAAACTGTGGTAGGTGGTCTGCATGTGAGGCAGCGGGTGAGCAGGAAAACCGGTGCTTTGGTGTCCCCGTCTGTTGAAACCAGTTCTAATCATTCTTATCATTTTATATCCATATGTTTTATCGTCAGTCTGCATGTCCATCTATCCATTTTCATAACTGCTTATTTTCCCCTAACGGGCTCGGGGGGGACTGGGGCCTATCCCAGTAGTCATTGGCGAGACGTTAGTGTGAGCAAAACACCCTTTTGTTTAGTTTTTTTAAAGACAGGGTAAAAAAATGAATTTTTTTATCTGAATGTGCACTTCCAGGGCTACAGGCTGTCTTGTATAACATAACTCTTTGTTTGAGATTTGACGGTAGGTGGTCTGCATGTAAGGCTAGAGCAGTGGGTGAGCAGCAAGTTATCATCATGCAGCATTGGAATATCCAGCACATTGAGCTGTTTTATCGTCAGCACGTACATGTAGCTAAAAAAAATTTCTCTATGCAAACATGGGCCCGTACAATGGTGAAGCTGTGATACCCTTGATTATATTTTTTTCATGGCTGACTATCGAAACATGAAAGCGAGAGCGCGGAAACTCAACTGCGGGGACGTTAAAAGAGACACGAGGGAGGGAAAGGCTCCGCCATCCGTTTCCGTCTGCGCTCCGCTCCGACTGCTCCATTTAAGACAAAATGGTTTGGGCCCTGCTGGGATTTTGGGGTTTAGCGTCACGTGACGCTCAGGGTGTGACGGGTCCACGCCACGCCCGTGACCTGATCACCGGCCCATTTCCACCGCCCACCACCCGCCGTCTGGGACAAGGTGCAACACACACAAGCAGCCACGCGCACAAAAAAATCCTATTTTCACATCCAGAGACTCACACAAAGTGTTCTGCTTACTTTCATTGCGAAAGTGTTTTTAATTAAGCCCCCGATAACAGCAAAGTTTAATTAGCAAGTCAAATGAAGTCAGGTAGGTGAGAGGTTCTTTATTAGCAGTCGAGCGTATTGGATTACTTCGGCAAGATAAGAAATAAAAAAAATAAAAAACGACATGCCTCAGAGGGAATATTTGTTGATTATTTTTTTTCTT